TCAAGGAATACTTAGTGAGATATGTGTTGTAAACTACCAGCATATGTGCTTTGAGACATGATTGGTTAATTGAGTTTAGAATATATATACTGAAACATATATTTTTGGTATATAAAGGACAGAGTACTCAATATATATATACTATGTTTATTCAGGTATACACGAATACAGTTATATATATTATCATACATAGCACCAGTAGAACATACATTAATACCTAATATAGGGAATAATGTACACCCAGTGTACACACAGTGATACATGTTATAATGCATAAAGAATAGAGAGTATTGAGTCTATATAGTGATGGTAAAGCGTGAAATATTATTATTATTATAATCAAGGGGGAAGCTCTAAACCCGGAGGATTATACAGCGCCTGGGTGGGGGTATGTGGAAGGCATTCAGGCTTAATTCGGGGAACTGGAGCACAGATCCAATTCCCTAAATCAAGAGCCCCTCACCAACATCAAGGAACCTTCCTTGAGGGGTTGAAGCATGAAGATGACTGGGAGTGTAGACGTGTTGGTGCCGGGGGCCTCCAGGCCACCGTACCAGGCAGTGCTGGTGGTGACAAGAGTCACCACCAGCACTGGTTCAGGCCAGGTAGACGAATAACGGTGTATACATGGTCTATGGTTACATCTCTATGCTTAACAAGAGTATGCGACGAAATGATATATATGTTAGCAGTTAAGTCAGATTAGGGAAAGGGTCAGGTCTATTGTATATTGGAGGATTAGCTGTTAAACTTATTTAGGCACTTTAGCAGCGCTGTATGACCCTTACAGGTTGAGCGCTTGGTTGTGATTATAATAATAATAAGTAGGCATAGGTACACATAAGTACAATAATCATAAATAGTGTAAATTGCCTAGGATAACCCAAAAAAGTCAGACTGATTTTCTTACTTGATTTTATGTTGTCTCTTACATGGGGTCGTTTGTGCATTGAGGCGTCTGTGGAGACCAGGAACGTTATCCATAGAGGCAAGAAGGGAAAGTATGAGAGTATAGTGGTATCAATACTCTTACATGGGTGTGATTATTATTATAATCAAAAAGAAGCGCTAAGCCACAAGGGCTATACAGCTACATGGGTGTGAAGCATGGTTTGTGAACGTTGCAGCGAGGAGACTGGAGAGACAGTGGAGATGTGTCAGGGCAATGTGTGGTGTGAATATTAAGCAGATAATTCGTAGTTTGGAGATTAGGAGGTACAGCGTTAATAAAACTGTCATCCAAAGGGAGGGGCTGTTGAGGTGGTTTGGACATTTAGAGAGGAAGGAGCCCTCGAGGGTAGGGATCGCCCTGGAAAAGGTTAGAGGGAGAGTGGGTAAAGGTTTTGTCTGCGAGGGACTTGGACATCCAGCAGGCATGGAGGCAAATGGTATTTGAGACTTGACAAACTGTTGGAATGTGAGCAAAGTAACAATTTATGAAGGGATTCGGAGAAACTGGTTAGCTACAGGTGGGAAGTACAATGCCTGCACTCTGAAGGATAGGTAGGGATATTTGCAGTTAGGAGGGGCATCTGAACTGTGGTATTGGCAAGACAGTGATGGAGTGAATTATAGTTTCTTTTTTCAGGTCACCCTACCTCAGTGGGAGATAGCCAATGTGTGTACTTGCCTATTTATGGTTGCAGTGGTTTTATAGCTCCTGGCCCAACCTCTTAGCTGGTCATTACTAGGTCCACTTTCTCCCTGCTTGTACTCACCCATTTGTAGTCGCAGGGGTCGAGTCACAGTTCCTGGCTTCATGTCTGTGCTCTTACGAAGACAAGTGAATATGGTATGCAGTTAAACAGCAAGGGTAATTAAAAAGATAATTAATCCTTTCCATATAAATCTTTCTCAGAGGCTAGATCATTCAATAGAATTGTTAGTGTTTAGCTTGTAAATCCAATAGATAAAGGGGAAATTTTTATGCCACCATGGTAAACCCTAGCATGTTCATAGAATTATCTAATGTGACTCACGAAATCGTAATGACACGATTGCAAACAAACCATACCACGGGCGGGGATAGAACCCGCGACAGTCTGGAATTCTGAGACTCTCTGATCACGGGTTCTATCCCCGCCCATGGTATGGTTTAATTATCTAACTTTTGAAGGTGTATACAGAAGGGCCTGCAGCTTCAGAGTAAATAAAAAGTCTTCAAGGAAATATCAAGATTTCACCTAGAAACCATTTGAATATTTTTTTTCTACCACTCTATTTTTTTTTTTTTTTGAGGTAAGAATTTATTATATTTTCACATTCATATATGTAATAAATTATTATTATTATTATAATCAAGGGGGAAGCGCTAAACCCGTAGGATTATACAGCACCTGGGGGGGATGTGGAAGGCATTCCGGCTTAAATCGGGGAACTGGAGCACAAATCCAATTCCCTAAATCAAGAGCCCCTCACCAACATCACGGGACCTTCCCTGAGGGAATATATGTATCAAAATATTTTAAAATGAGGGGAGGAAAACAATTCAGTTCCACACCTTAGAGCCCCTGACTGGAATCAAGGAACTTTCTTCAAGAAAAACAAAAGTTGCATAGGTGATGAAGGCAATATTGAAAATAAGATGTAACTAAAGGATACCTTCAAAGATATGCCCAGTGTTATTCATAATCTGCAGTGTTATTCATCATCTATTAGCTATTAAGTTACGAGTTGCCGATGTTTTGTGCTGTAATTATCACTGATGATTATGGGCTCCAACTAATACCAAAACTGCCACTCAACCCAGTTGCTTGTCCATACTGTATACTTCCTCGATACTTGATATTCACAAGTCTGGCCCTTTGATATCCCTCCTGAATGATAATAATAACAACAATCAAACTAAATGCTAAACCTAAAAGGGCCATACAGCTTTGCAAGTAGGGATGTGCAAAAGAAGGAATGTGCAAAGGTGATAAAGGGCAGGAGTGAATGAGTGCAGGGGTTGCTAAGGGTAGGGGAGAGTGCAAGAGGAAAATTTGAATCACAATTGGTGTAACAAGTCAAGTTTGTTAACAAGCCAAACTGCATCAAAGGTGGGACTGCAGCCCTCCTGGAGTCTTATTTGTTCTCAATAGGAACAAGTTAACATTAAAAAATGTTAGAGGAAGATAAGTAATCTGTAGGAGAAGGAAGGCGGGGTAGGGGTCGTCCTCGAAAAGGTTGGAAGGAAGGGGTAAGGGAGGTTTTGTGGGGAGGAGCTTGGACTTCCAGCAGGCATGCATGAGCGTGTTCGATAGGAGTGAATGGAGACGAATGGTATTTGGGACCTGACGATCTGTTGGAGTGTGAGCAGGGTAATATTTAGTGAAGGGATTCAGGGAAACCGGTTATTTTATATAACCGGACTTGAGTCCTGAAAATGGGAAGTACAATGCCTGCACTCTAAAGGAGGGGTTTGGGATATTGGCAGTTTGGAGGGATATATTGTGTAATTTTATACGCATATACTTCTAAACTGTTGTATTCTGGGCACCTCTGCAAAAACAGTGATTATGTGTGAGTGAGGTGAAAGTGTTGAGTGATGATGAAAGTATTTTCTTTTTGGAGATTTTCTTTCTTTTTGGGTCACCCTGCCTCGGTGGGAGACGGCCGACTTGTTGAAAAAAAAAAAAAAAGTAATGCTCAACAAATTACATTCCCACTGTATTATTACTGCCACATCACATTAAAAAAATTAATTTATGTGGATCATTCAACCTGCAGGGTAATTTTTTTTAATCATTTGGGAAGCACTAAACATGTAAGGGTTCTATAGTACCTGAAGAATAAGAGACATTCATGTCTTATCCAAGTCAGGGGAGGACAAATCCAGTTCCTTGACTCAAATCTCTCTCTCACCAGTATCTAGGTACCTCCCTTGAGGAGGTCGTACAAGATAAAAGTTCTGACATTAAGAGTTAAGGTTCGTTAAAAAAAATTAAGTTATGAAAGGCAAGTGCAAGTGTGGAATAATCTGTCTATTACATTCACGGCAGAGCACTACATGTGTATGGAAGTCAGCTCTGCAGGGTAAAGTGGTGCTTACATTTGAAGATAGAGCTATGGAGGGTTTGTGTAACTGAAAGGAGGAATGTATATTCACAAAATAGAATTAAATTCATATGGACTTTCAACACAGTCAGATGCAACAAAATGCAAATTATATGAACTTTCAACACAGATGCAACAAACTGCAAATTACTGAATCTACAATGTTAAAAGTTATTATGGGATGGCATTCACAGGCTAAAGGATACATATAAATAAAACCATCAACTAAAAATTTTAGTTCAAACGAACGGGAAAATTATTCTACTAGGCTTTAGTTACAAAATAAGTCAACTTATACACTAAGTCATTAATCATTATTATATATAGAGATGGTCAAAAAAAATTTCATCCATCTTTAATGCAACTGTCTATATTCTGTCTGCCACTTATCTATTGAATAAACACAGTATCTCATTCTTGTGCCTTTCCTTTCTGTCTTCTGTGCCATACTTCCACTGTGTTTTTTTTGGGGAAGGACATTTCATTTTTTATTTAACACAGATTTTTTTATTTAAAAGTTGGTGTTGTCTCTGGTATACTCAACTTAGATAACATTAAAGATAATGTTTTGATAATTAAAAATAAGAATTATGTAAATAATAGTGATGAATACAAAGACTAATAAGAGTAGTTATAGAAACTTGACATAAATGACTGCTGTATGACTGGTACTCAAACCAGTGATAAAGCACTTGGAGATGGTAAGTAACAAGGCTTCATAGAAGGAAAAAACAGGCCCAGTTTCTTGGAACAAAAGCCCTTCAAGGGCATCACGTTGCTTCTCTTGCAACAAAATATATTTCAAAAGACCAAGAATTTAAAAAAAAATTAAAATATCAAAATAGTAAGTACTTAAGTTTAAAACACAAACAGTAAGAATGAGATGATGTAAAGATATATTACAAAACAGAGCTTGGGAATCCAAAACCAGCACACAACAAAGAGGAACGTAGTAAAACACAGGGTAATTTGGACGAATAGTTTATTCGATAAAAAAATAAACGTTTATAGAAAAATGTTCAGGCGTCTACCTAGTTTGGAAGAAGTGGGCTTCATGTGGTGGGGGTATAAACAACTGTTACTCTATTATATGGGTTTGCTACTCTATAAACACTTGCCTAAAACTTGAATGGCTTATGGAAGAAGAATTTTGTTCCACTTTCCCATGGAAATAGTTTGTATTATTACAAGTAATTTAAGTCCTTGATATCAAGACTAAATGGCAGATGCAACCGAGTATATTTTAATTGGTACACATACCCAAATGCACACACACACAAATTTGTTGCACAAGAATAAACATGCAAATTTATCTTATTGCACTGATTTAGCCAATGATTGTTGAGAAATAAGGGAATGAAGAGTTGATGTAATGGCAGAGGAATGATTACTGTGTCGTGTAACTGCTTTCTCTTGCTCCCCTAACTCCTCACACCTTTGTGATGCTTCTTCTGTTCGTTTTAGAACCTGGTAAAAAAATATGTAGGTTAGGTATTTACATGTATATCAGCAATGTAAAGCCTAAACAATACACAATTTTTAGTAGCACCTTTGCTTTTTCTAATATAGCCTAGCTCACTATAATAAATAATAAAATCAAATGAAGCACTAAATCTGACTAGCTTCCCTATAGCAAGTTTATTCTACTGTAGTACTAAATGCTGTACACGTACATCCTTTACAATTTCTTTTAAATTTCTATATTGGTACTAATCACTGCATAAATTTAATATATACTACAGTGGAACCTCAAATATCGAACTTTCTTCGGTCCAGAAGGCTGTTCAAGTGCCTTTACCGAATGAATTTATTCCCATCAGGAATAATGTAAATTAGATTAGTCCATTTCAGACCCTCAAAAATACACTTATAAAACCACTTACAAAAATACACTTACATAATTGGTCGTGTTGGGAGCAGTTCGATTTTTGAGGTTTCACTGTACTTTACTTACTTTACCTTCCTTATACATAAGTATTTTACTACTGGCTACCTTTAAATGCTTTTCTTTTCTTCTTTATGAATTACTCTTACTCTTACTTGTTTCACTTTACATACTACATTTACCACCATACCTTGAATAACCCCAGACTTTTCTCCCTCATTTGCTATTTTATCATTTTATAAAATAAAAAAACAATGGTTATAAATGACCATAATTTTTAAAGGGGTGGACCGGTAAGCCAGCGGAAGGCCTCGGTCAGATGACCAAAAGCTCCAAATGCGGGTCATCATCTGACTAAGACTCTATGACCGCGGGTTCAATCCCGGCCGGGGGTATGGTTTATTTGCAATCGTGTCATTACGATTTCTTGAGTCAACATTTGTCCTGTTTCCTGACGAACCTTACCTAACCTAACCTATCATTTTATTGTCATTAACAACCTTGCAGAGGCTAAAACTACTAATCAAGTTCTTTGCTGTCAATAAAAAAGATATATATATTCATGATATTTCACTCACAGACTCTTCCTCTTATGTGATTCCTTCACATACACAGGAATAATTGAAGTGCTGTAACTGCACTTTTCATAATACTCACACCAGGCACTAGACATTCACTTGTGAAATAAATTACCTGAGTCAGTTTCGTTAGCTTGACATTGGATTCATGAACAAGTGGGCCTGTGTTAGGAAGTTCTAGCTGTGTGTTGGAAGTTGTCCACGGAGCAATATACAAGGAGTACACTCCTTGAAACAGCTCGTGCTGCTTGCTGAGATCAGAGATGCCCTGGCATACATTAGCTTGCAATTCATTTTGTTCTGTAGATGTCTGCTGTACTTTCCAGTGCTGTTATGATGAAAAAAAAGATTATAAATTGACACATCAAGAATCAAGTGTTTTACAAGAATAATTTCACCAGAAATGTGCATTATAACTATAATAGTAAGCATTGAACATGCTTGATCTAGTACCATCGATCAAAACATTCGCAGAATTCCCACTTCCTCTATTACTTTAGTTAAGAACCTACTTTCACAACTTCATTAATAAGCTTTACTCATTTCCATAAATTTTTTTCACTATCAATATTTTTTTTTTTTTTAATTTACAATACACATCCCTATACAATTTAGTTTCCCAACAAAGGAGTCACCCAAAGAAGAAACAAATTTCACCATTGCTAGCTAGCTCTTTTGTAATCCAGCTTTGTATTGTACACTAGATGTACCTATACTCATATAAAAGGCTCTTCAGTTCATATTGTACTACAGTACTGTACACAAAAGATATCAAAAGAAGTCAATGTTAACCTCTTCCATGGCACTGTATTTCTCCAACTGTTTATTAAGCTGATCATGATTATCCTGCAACAAATCAGTAACTGGAATATATTGTCCATATCTGCACCACATTCGATATTTCTCCCTCAGGTCTCCTGGTATTACAGTTGTACCTCCGTCCTGAAATTATTTAGAAACAATTAATATTAAGGTTCAAACAAGCTGGTGAACATTCATTTATGAATAATAAAAAAAAATCTCAGGTTTTCCATCAGGCATAATAATTAACAGCAGTCATAATAATGTGCAGTATAAAGATGGGAATAGGTTGGAAAATTGGTGATCAATGGCTGACGTAATAAAATGAAGTGACAGTTGGTGGGACCACATGGAATGTACAACTTGTTTTAGGATGCTTCTCTTGTAAGAAACATATCTATGGAGCCACATTGTACTCTCCAAGAAAATGTTCACAATTTTTTCCAAATAGAGAAAAACCTGTATGTACAAGGGTAAGTAAATGTAACATAATTATTATTATTTTATTTTTTATTAACACATCGGCCATTTCCCACCAAGACAGGGTGACCGAAAAAAGAAACTTTCATTATTATTATGGGGAAAACTAAATCAATAAGTCATATAGCATGTGAACAGGAGACTATCATGTTTGATCCAAAGAAGTGTAGGACAGCTACATTTCTTGAAGGATAAATAGAGCAAAATATATCATAACTTGTGCAATACAGTGGACCCCCACCTAACGATCAGCTCCCAACTCGACCAATTATGTAAGTGTATTTTTGTAAGTGCTTTTGTAGGTGTATTTTTGGGGGTCTGAAACGGACTAATCTAATTCACAATATTTCTTATGGGAACAATTTCGGTCTATAACGGCACCCAAACAGACTTTTGGAATGAAATAATATCGTTAGGCGGGGGTCCACTGTATTTAGTGATCAAAGATTACTGCAAAATGCATTATCAGTCTATTTTTTTAATTTATAAATTATCAGAAATGCATTCCTGAAAATGCATGAAAAAAAAAAATTAGCATTTTATATTTTTAATAACTTTGTAAAAAATATAATACAGTGGACCCCCGGTTAACGATATTTTTTCACTCCAGAAGTATGTTCAGGTGCCAGTACTGACCGAATTTGTTCCCATAAGGAATATTGTGAAGTAGATTAGTCCATTTCAGACCCCCAAACATACACGTACAAACGCACTTACATAATTACACTTACATAATTGGTCGCATTCGGAGGTAATCGTTATGCGGGGGTCCACTGTATATGCAAATGCCAAAAATAGCAAAAGTGTTGACTTAAAAAGATTATAAACTAACTCTAGAAGCTGCAAAAGGAAACAAAATTTAACACAAAGTATAAAGATAACCACACACAATCAGTAACCTTGTGCGACTGTAACTGATTCATTCAGTATATTCCAAAGTATGCTGCTCGAGATGCAGAAAGTATAATGATATACAAAAAACAGTAACATAGTCCAACTGATCCATGCTCCAACCTTCAGTATTGGCTGTAGATAGGGAGAATCAGCCAGCTGATCCAGAAGGATACTTGAAGAGTGGGATTCTGATTCCTGATCTTTGACCGAGGTAGAGAAGCGACGCACATGGCTTATGCTATCTAAACACCTCTGCCAAAACTGTAATTGGGCTGCTGCCGGTGCTGTTCCCTGTGTAAATGTTAATGTATTTAGGTATATATTTAATGTATTTACGTAATATACTGTACAGTATATCCATAAATAAATATGTTCTCTACGATATCCCTAAATAAATACACTGTATATATACAAGTATAATATGAGGAAAGGGAATTCCAGGTAGCATCCTATGCGAGTCTTTAGGGTATTGCTCATTATTTGCTACCTAAACATCATACTATGAGTGTATATAACCTTTATGCAAACAATCTTACATTCGACTGACACTCATGATATTCCTTAGCCCTATCCCTACCAAAATAAAATTTAAATTCTTTCTCCAAATCTATAATGAGATCATCTCCTTATCTCAATACTGTCTGAGTGACCTTCCTCAGCACCTCCATATCAAAAAAGGCATACAAGAAACCAAATCTTATTCATGTGCTCTACATTTTTCTTTCCAAAGTCACAGGCAGACTAGGTAGTATCTAACATATAAATCTCATTTGGGCAACACCTGACATTGGGCAGCAAGGTCTATAGGCTATACAGGGTATGTTGCCATCATCATTCTTAATAACAAACAGGCTTGGTTCACCAGTCTCATTTTAAGTTCGTAAGAGAGTGAAATGTTGTTCAAATGTAGGCTACTGTAATTTGTTCTGCCTATAATATTATTGTATTCCTTCTTCTTTAGTTTATAAATACATGTAATTATATATCATAAATGAAATGCTGATGTAATTATGATAATGGCATATAATACCAATAAATGTGTTTATCATCTTGAAATGCTGAATTATAATACCATCTTAGAAAGATACTGCATAAGTAAAAAAATCAAGTACAGGTATTCACCTGAATAACTTCAGAATCTCCTGAGCGGCAGATTCCCATGCATGATAAGCACTGCAAAATTCCTGCAAGACAGACTGAAAGTTAGGTAAAAAGAGATAAATAACTCTTGAACTTTCTGATGAAGACACAAGCAGCAATTGTATAGTTTAATAAGAATACTTTTGACAAAGCCTGCTATGCATGCAATACATGGTCTTAATAAAGTTTTCAATTCCTGCTTGTGTCTTTATCAACAACAACGTGTCAGTATTCCCATACCATCTGTTATAACTCTCTGGCATAATGAATCCTCTATTATTATAGTCTTGAAATAAGAATCTCAGTATATATTTCTGTAAGAATCAAATTCTCTAAAGATCACCTGGACAGAACTACTGTATTCTGTAAACAAGTTGGAACAGCTCCGAACTTGTAAACTGCAGGGAGGGCAAAAAAGTACATTCAGACTTTAAAAAGTTAAAATCTGTAATACGTAGTGGACTAACTATAGTACATGAAAACAATGGGAAAAATTATGCTAGACAAATATGTCCGATCAACCAAGTCTCACTTTGAGTGTGTATGTGCGGTGGTGCTGTGGATATCTCTGCTGCCTCTGTGGGAACCAACTGACTCAGCACCCACAGCATAAGACTCTGCCTGGGTACCCCAGCAGTTAACAACACAGAGCGAACCCAGCTGGGCTCCATTGTCTCCAAGCCATTATAACTGAGGTACTAGAACATAATAAAGATGGGTTATCAAAACTGGGTAGTATTTTATTTAACAACAATCAACACACCACCCTATCACCACCACAATCGCTGCCACTGCCACTATAACAACAGAACAACAGTAGATGATGTAAAAGGAGAAGGGGAAGGAAGTACAAGAAGGAAGAAAAGTCATTAAGGAGGGAGGAAAATACAAATGAGAATAATTATAAGATTTATATAGCCTATATAATTTTTTTTTTTTTCAACAAGTCGGCCGTCTCCCACCGAGGCAGGGTGACCCAAAAAGAAAGAAAATCCACAAAAAAGAAAATACTTTCATCATCATTCAACACTTTCACCTCACTCACACATAATCACTGTTTTTGCAGAGGTGCTCAGAACACAACAGTTTAGAAGCATATACGTATAAAGATACACAACATATCCCTCCAAACTGCTAATATCCCGAAACCCCTCTAGAGTGCAGGCATTGTACTTCCCATTTCCAGTACTCAAGTTTGGCTATATAAAAATAACCTGTTTCCCTGAATCCCTTCACTAAATATGTATTACCCTGCTCACACTCCAACAGATCGTCAGGTCCCAAATACCATTCGTCTCCATTCACTCCTATCGAACACACTCATGCCCGCCTGCTGGAAGTCCAAGCCCCTTGCCCACAAAACCTCCCTTACCCCTTCCTTCCAACCTTTTCGAGGACGACCCCTACCCCGCCTTCCTTCTCCATGTCATTCTACTTTGATCCATTCTCTCTAAATGACAAAACCACCTCAACAACCCCTCTTCAGCCCTGACTAATACTTTTATTAACTCCACACCTTCTCCTAATTTCCACACTCCTAATTTTCTGCACAATATTTACACCACACATTGCCCTTAGACATGACATCCCCACTGCCTCCAACCGCCTCCTCGCTGCTTCACACCCATATAAGAGTGTTGGTACTACTATACTTTCATACATTCCCTTCTTTGCCTCCATAGATAACGTTTTTTGACTCCACATATACCTCAACGCACCACTCACCTTTTTTCCCTCATCAATTCTATGATTAACCTCATCCTTCATAAATCCATCCGCCGACACGTCAACTACCAAGTATCTGAAAACATTCACTTCTTCCATACTCCTCCTCCCCAATTTGATATCCAATTTTTCTTTATCTAAATCATTTGATACCCTCATCACCTTACTCTTTTCTATGTTCACTTTCAACTTTCTACCTTTACACACATTCTCAAACTCATCCACTAACCTTTGCAATTTTTCTTTAGAATCTCCCATAAGCACATTATATATTATATATACATAGAGTACATGCAATTCCTATGTCTTCTATTTAAAAAGAAATCTACTACTGCATCTGCATTATTATTTAATGAACATAAAGACAATATATATATGTGACTAAAGATGCAAAACAAAGGGGAACTCAAATAGAAATGAAATAAGTACACGTATTCAAATTGACTTTCGTGGTTACCTTAGCTTAAATTTTTATAATTAATGTCAGTGATTTTATTGACTTTCACAAGTCGATCATTTAGAAGTTAACGATATTTTCCTGTTGGCAAAGAATTCTCCTAAATAAAATCTTAATAAAACTATCAACAAGCACTAACCTAAACCTGAATTATGTTGCTGAATAACCCATAGTTGTAGTTTAACAAGTCACCAAACCTTCTGACTGAATAATTAAGTAAATTCAATGATTTGAAAAGTTGATAAATTTGTAGGGCATGTTCAGTTATCACCAATGTTAACCTATAGTAATAAGCAAAAAATCTGCATGTAGGAAAAAGAAACTTATGACAACGTTTCGGTCCGAACTGGACCATTAACTATTAACACAAGTGCGAAGGGAAGGGAACCAGTATACATACAACAGGAGGCGGAGCTGGGTAAACAAGAGGAGGTAGTAGTAGTAGTAGTATAAAGATAGAGGTAGTAATCATGTGCTTAATGAAAATATTGTAGAAATTCAAAACAACAGTCTGTAAAAACAAATGTAATAACTGTGTGAGTGAAGTTCAACTGTTAGATTTAAATTAATATATGCTGTATGACTCACAGGGGTATACAATACCTGGAGAGTATTATTATTATAATCATAATTAAGTGCTAAACCCATAAGGAAGAGAGGATATTGTTATGAAGGGGAAATTGGATTTAATCCTTTGGATCAAGATTTCACCGTACATCAAGGCACACCCACCTCTCCACGTGAAATTGTGATATTATTATTATTTACCTTCATGTGGAAGCGCTAAACTATCATGGGTTATTAATTATAATCACGGGAGAGTGCTAAACCTGTGTTATATAATATTATAATCATGGGGAGATCTAAACCCGTAGGAATATACAGCACATGTGGGAGGATGGAAGGTATCCAGGCTAAATTCAGGGAACCGGAGCACAGATCCAGTTCCCTAGATCAAGAGCTCCTCACCAGCGTCAAGGAACCTCCCTTGAGGGTAAAACTAAATGGAGTCATTGAATGCCAGAGTAATGGGAGGCAACCAGGTTCGATCCAAGGAATGGACGAATGCCAAATTCCTAGGATCAAGAGCCCCTCATTAGCACCAAGGCGCCTCCCTTGGGGAGTAGTAATGTGAATTTATTATTATTATAATGGGGAAGCGCTAAACCCGTAGGCTTATACAGCGCCTGTGGTGGGGAGGGGATGGAAGGTATTCGGGCTTAATTCAGGGAACTGGAGCACAGATCCAATTCCCTAGATCAAGAGCCCCTCACCAGCATCAAGGAATCTCCCCTGAGGGGGTAGTAATGTGAAATACTCACCTCCAGATGAGTAATAATACCGGCAAGAATATCCTCCTCCCTCATCTTTGTGGTGTTGTTGGGAGTTTTGTGGGTCATCACAACTTCCACCTTGTTGATAAATGGCTCAGAGAACCAACAAGTTGATATATTACACACAACTGCAACACTTGGGTATATTTATTGTGTAAAAGTTTCGTTACACAGTAGCATAATCAGTCCAATACAAAGAAGAATGGTTGAAGATCAAATCCCCCAATGGAAATAAGTCATTTTGACTCTTTGGGTTATCCTAAGTTCTTTACACATATGCTGTTGTGTATGATAATCTATGTAACTGTATTTGTGTTAACCTGAATAAACTTATTAATAACCATTCTTCTCCGTATTGGACTCATGAAGCCACTGTAGCTAAACATTTCCACAGTAAAGATACCCAAGTGTTGCACATGTGTATAATTTATCAGCTTCCACCTTATTGAGTCTTATTCCTGGGATTCCGGAAAAAAAAAAAATCTCTGTTGCATAAATCTGGTTGGCAGTTGACAAGAAAAAGTTTTCTCTTAGAAAAGAAACGGGAACAATTGTTTCCCGAGCAACAAACATGATAAATGTTAATGTGTCTACTCTGTTTGTTTGGCCTCCTTGTGATTCCCAGTTTTAATATTCATGAATAAATAAATTAAATAAATAAATAAATAAATAAATAAATAAATAAATAAATATATATATAATATATATATATATATATATATATATATATATATATATATATATATATATATATATATATATATATATATATATATAGAAAGCAATTAGTTATTGCCCCATGGCTTGGTGGCTAAAGCTCTCGCTTAACACAAAGATGTCTGGGTTCGATTCCCAGCGAGGGTAGAAACATTGGATGTGTTTTCTTACACCGGTTGTCTATGTTCACCCATCAGTAAAATGGGTACCTGGGTGTTAGTGGACTGGTGTGGGTCGCATCCTGGGACAAAACTGACCTAATTTGCCCGAAATGCTCTGATGTCAGCTATGGCCTGTATATCTTGTACATGTACTTGTTGTAATAAAGATATTATTATTTTAGCCTCAAGCTAGGTTTGTTTGCCTTAAATACTGTGCATACTAAGGGGCTTTCTGCATGCACGTCTAATTGTCACCCATCACTGTACACACATTGTATCATGCTGATATAAAATTTATATTATGATAAGTCTGGTGAAGCTCTTTCAGTCAGACAATTACTATCAAAACCAAGAGTCAATAACCGGCTTTTTACAGGCCTAGAAATTCGCAGTGGGGAAAGAATAGCTGGTGAATAGAGTCCCAACTGATTGTCCAGCCACCTGTGTATTATAACATGTGTCCCGGGAAAAAGAAACAAGAGGGAATTCATCACCGATGCTTAGAGGAGAAGTAGAACGAGACGTCAGCATTCCACCCTAATGTTCCTTCATCTTCGTGGTTCATTATGTTAGTTTTAAGGGTTGTTACAGTTTGTACATATAGAGTCCACCTTCTGTTCTCGGGAAGACAATATTGCCCAAATATCGATCGTAAAAATTATAAAAAATAAGCGCTAAACCTGCAAGGGTCACAGCGCTGTCTACCATAAAAAGAAACAGCATCGTGCCTTTCGTCCATTTTATTATAATTCTTAGGGTTATCAGATCACCCACTAGTTACCTTGACGTTGGTGAGGGGCTCTTGATCTAGGGAATTGGATCTGTGCTCCAGTTCCCTGAATTAAGCCTGAATACCTTCCACATCCCCCCACCGGCGCTGCATAATCCTACGGGTTTAGCGCTCCCCTTTGATAATAATAATAACCCACTAGTTAGCCTGAGTATTTTTCCCTTCCCAACATAGATTTACCCTGTATTTACATATTATTATTTATTATTATTCTTATTATTTATTACTGGGAACCATTAACCCCATGTTAATTTAGAGTGTCTGGGAATGGGAGGAAATCAGGTTGGAGCTAAGGGAAGGATAGGTCCAGTTTCTGGAATCAAGAGCCCCTCACCAGCATCAAGGCACCTCCTTGACGGGCCTGTAAATACGTTACAGTACTTTATATGACAAATTTAAAAGCTTATTAATTAATTTTCTTTAAATATTTACCAAGCCACTTCTTAAAGATGATGCAATATTTCACTTTGAACTGTTAAGTAAATAATTCAAGAGTATTGTATGTATAATAATTTTTTACATGTATTTTATCAAATTTATTAACTAGCATTTTATGGTAGTGGAGGGAAGGTGGGATAGGAGTCGTCCTGGGAAAGGTTGGAAGGAGGGGGTAAAGGAGGTTTTGTGTGCGAGAGGCTTGGACTTCCAACAAGTAAGTGTGAGCATTGTAGATAGGAGCAAATGGAGACAAATGGTTTTTGGGAGTTGACATGCTGTTGAAGTGTGTGCAAGATAACATTTATGAAGGGATTCAGGGAAATCGGCAGGCTGGACTTGAGTCCTGGAGATGGGAAGTACAGTGTCTGCGTTCCGAAGGAGGGGTGTTAATGTTGCAGTTTTATAACCGTAGTGTAAGCGCACCTCTGGCAAGACAGTGATGGAGTGAATGATAATTAAAGTTGTTCTTTTTTGGACCACCCTGCCTTGGTGGGAAATGGCCAATGTGTTAATTAAAAAAAAATATTTATGGTAGTCTGTGCTTCATTACAGGTAGGCATGGCTTACCTGGAGTTTACCTGGAGAGAGTTCCAGGGGTCAACGCCCCCGCGGCCCGGTCTGTGACCAGGCCTCCTGGTGGATCAGAGCCTGATCAACCAGGCTGTTGCTGCTGGCTGCACGCAAACCAACGTACGAGCCACAGCCCGGCTGGTCAGGAACCGACTTTAGGTGCTTGTCCAGTGCCAGCTTGAAGACTGCCAGGGGTCTGTTGGTAATCCCCCTTATGTATGCTGGGAGGCAGTTGAACAGTCTCGGGCCCCTGACACTTATTGTATGGTCTCTTAACGTGCTAGTGACACCCCTGCTTTTCATTGGGGGGATGGTGCATCGTCTGCCAAGTCTTTTGCTTTCATAGTGAGTGATTTTCGTGTGCAAGTTCCTCTAGGATTTTCCAGGTGTATATAATCATGTATCTCTCCCGCCTGCATTCCAGGGAATACAGGTTTAGGAACCTCAAGCGCTCCCAGTAATTGAGGTGTTTTATCTCCGTTATGCGTGCCATGAAGGTTCTCTGTACATTTTCTAGGTCAGCAATTTCACCTGCCTTGAAAGGTGCTGTTAGTGTGCAGCAATATTCCAGCCTAGATAGAACAAGTGACCTGAAGAGTGTCATCATGGTCTTGGCATCCCTAGTTTTGAAGGTTCTCATTATCCATCCTGTCATTTTTCTAGGTTATACAGCAAGTTGGGTTCCGGGCTACTGCTGTAAAGCAAATATCACTTTAAAGTGAAACATGACCTTTTTTTTGCTTTCAAATGCATATAAAAGCCTGATAACATATTTACACTAACATATATTAAATGAGCAATAGAACTAGGCCTACAAAATGCACATACATTATGTACACATTACTTACCTTAAAATATTCTCATACTTTGCTTATAGTGAGTGAATATATTCAATGTAGGAAGCCTGAATAAATGAAGAATGGGTATAATAGAAAACTAGTGTATTAGAAAAACGCTGTAAAGCAGGGCCCTCTGTACTGACAAGAAATAAAATGTGTAGTGATCAAGACCCACAACTTCACTACAATTATCTAAACTCTGACAGGAAATGTGCAGTTTTTTCAGTCACTTAAATATGATAACTTACTTTGATTATCAGGAATTAAATGAGTACAATTATGGATGTCTGAAATATATTTGCATATTACAATAAGACTTAAAAGGTACACAAATAGATCAAGATACTATGAAGTGTAAATACAGAAAAGAAACCTGAATTAACCATTTAGCACAACAGACTTATTTACATAAAGAAGAATATAACATGAGTGATGTGTCTGATTTCGCATTCAGTAAACACTAAACAAATTTAATATGATTTTCCGTGATATCTATTAAGATATTTGTAACTTCAATTTATTGTCAATATGTACTGTATTACATCAAACGTTTTGATAACCATTATCCTGAGTACTGTACTTTGTTAGCAATGATTTGTTAAGTTTGTTAATAACCATTGGATTGAGTAGTTCGAGGTCTCTGTCTCATTTGATATACTATTTTTTTTGCCATTTAACACCATATTACATTTTACAAAATTACAAGAATTACGTACAGAGTCTGGATGCTCCACATCACTATCATATTCAAAATTTCAGTACAACGTGGGCTAAATATTTATTATTTAAATATTAAGATTTGTTTCTTGCCCAACATTCCTTCACTAGGCATGGCATTTTCAAGAGCAACATGGAAGCTTGAGAAAGGAACAAGAGTGTGATCTGGTGGCTTTAACTCACCATTTCGTGCAAGTTGAAATAATTCGTCTAACATCTGATGACGTTCAGGATGGTTGAGGTGGTTACTGTTCCATCGTGTCATCCAAAAACCAAACAGCTTAACATCAGTAAAGATTAAAGCTCCTGTTGGCACAGCTATTGGCTGCAAAGTAAAAATTTAAAGGAAATTACTTATCAAATTAAATACTACATTCATTTTTTAATCTCTCACTTCCACTACCATCCAATCTCCTTTTTCTACATACATTAACACACACCATTTAATCACCATTCGTAGTTTGGAAGTTAGGAGGAGGTGCGGGATTACCAAAACTGTTGTCCAGAGGGCTGAGGAAGGGTTGTTGAGGTGATCGGACATGTAGAGAGAATGGAGCAAAACAGAATGACTTCAAGAGTGTATCAGTCTGTAGTGGAAGGAAGGCGGGGTAGGGGTCGGCCTAGGAAGGGTTGGAGGGAGGGGGTAAAGGAGGTTTTGTGTGCGAGGGGCTTGGACTTCCAGCAGGCATGCGTGAGCGTGTTGATAGGAGTGAATGGAGACAAATGGTTTTTAATACTTGACGTGCTGTTGGAGTGTGAGCAAAGTAACATTTATGAAGGGATTCAGGGAAACCGGCAGGCCGGACTTGAGTCCTGGAGATGGGAAGTACAGTGCCTGCACTCTGAAGGAGGGGTGTTAATGTTGCAGTTTAAAAACTGTAGTGTAAAGCACCCTTCTGGCAAGACAGTGATGGAGTGAATGATGGTGAAAGTTTTTCTTTTTCGGGCCACCCTGCCTTGGTGGGAATCGGCCAGTGTGATAATAATAAATAAAAAAAAAAAACAATGTGATACATCAGAATATTCTAAATACACTGTGCTAATGTCTAACACAATTTATTTTGCAAGTGCTTGGGAGATATTCTTAGTTTACATATACATGTATAATGAGAGCTCCAAATTATGATGTACATACTGGTAATTCTTTTAACATGCAAAGCTGATGCCAAAATTCCATGACAGGTGCACTACATCAAATAACTTCTGTTGCAACAATACTATTTTTTTTTTCAACACATCGGCCATCCCCACCGAGGCAAGGTGACCCAAAAAAGAATCTTTCCTCCATAAGCCATACATGTTGTAAAAGTCAACTAAAATGCGGGAGCAATGAGCTAGTAACCACTTTTCCCATATAGCTTACTAAAAATACAAAGAAGAAAACTTTTATTTAAAATATGATCTTAATAATTCGGAACATACCTTATACTACTTATTCTACATCATTCAATTAGTGAACACCATTTTCCAAAAAATTCATTACTTGTTTCCATTATTGCATATTCCATTAAAAATTTCTCAAATTAAAAAAATGTCTACTGCTTAAATAGTTAGCAGTCTAACTAGTATACATCTTCTGTTTTAGACTTTCTATACATATACATAACATTTGGAAATAGTAATGACCACAGTCAATATTTTGTGGGATAATTTTGTGGGGCCAATTTCTCAGGTAAGGAAAGCTTACAGAGTTGAAAAGCACTGAAAATATATGCATAATGGTGAACAGAATAGTTACCTGTCTAGACATGCCTCCGTAAGTGACCATGACACCTTCAGGTGCCAGCTGCCTCAGTAGTTCTGTTGAACTTCGACCACCTACGCAGTTCAAAGCCAGACTTGGAGGTGGTAGAGCCTTTATTTCTTCACTTTTTCTAACCAAAAATACAGGATTTAGCATTTATTTATGAGCCTAATATATTGCTATGAAAATTAAAAGACTACTACTATGATTTATTATTAAGAACATTGTTTCACCTTTTTTATTAAAATTATTTTTATATTTTTATATCTATATATATATATTATTTTTTTTTTTTTTATAGGTAGTAGGTTGGTAGACAGCAACCACCCAGGGAGGTACTACCGTCCTGCCAAGTGAGTGTAAAACGAAAGCCTGTGATTGTTTTACATGATGGTAGGATTGCTGGTGTCTTTTGTCTGTCTCATAAATATGCAAGATTACAGGCATGTCTTGCTACTTCTACTTACACTTAGGTCACACTATACATACATGTACACATTTATTTATACACACTCATCTGAGTTTTCTTTGATTTTTATCTTAATAGTTTCTTGGTCTTATTAATTTTCCTTTTATATCCATGGGGAAGTGGAATAAGAATCTTTCCTCCGTAAGCCATGCGTGTTGTAAAAGTCAACTAAAATGCCGGAACAATGGGCTAGTAACCCCTTTTCCTGTAAAGATTACTAAAAAAATAAGAAGAAGAAAATTGTCAAGTGGGAAGTCTGAATGTGCGTGGATGTTGTGCAGAATGATAAGAAAGAGATGATGTGGATGTTATGAATGAGAAGAAGCTGGATGTCCTGGCTTTAAGTGAAACAAAGCTGAAGGGGGTCGAGAGTTTCAGTGGGGAGGAATAAATGGGATTAGGTCAGGGGTTTCAAATAGAGTTTGAGCTAAAGAAGGGGTAGCAATAATGTTGAAGAAAAAGCTATGGCAGGAAAAGAGGGACTACAAATGTATAAATTCAAGGATTATGTGGAGTAAAATAAAGATTGGATGTGAAAAGTGGGTTATAATAAGCGTGTATGCACCTGGAGAAGAGAGAAGTGTAGAGGAGAGAGAGAGATTTTGGAAATGTTTTAGTGAATGCGGGAGTTTTTTAATCAAGTGTGAAAATAATGGTGGTTGGGGATTTCAATGCTAAAGTGGTAAAAATGTTATGGAGGGAGTAGTAGGTAAATTGGGGCCAGGGGTAAATGTAAATGGGGGGCCTTTAAATTTAGCTAAGTGTAAGAAAGAAATTTGGTAATAAGTAATACATTTTTTATGAAAAAGAGGATAAATAAAATAAAAGGGTAAGTAGACGAAATAAAAGTATTTTTTTTAGATTAGTTTTTGGGTGGATAAAAGGTTATGGGTAGGCTCCGGGATGTACATTTTTATAGAGGGAAACTGAATACGGATCATTATTTAGTTGACTACAGTTAATAAAGGTAAGGGGAAAAAGGGGAAAGGGTGGCAACAACAAGTAAGAGGGGGTAAAGTGTAAAAAACTAAGGGGGGGAGGAAGTTCGGGTGAGATAAAGCGACTTTTGGGGCAAAAGGTGGGCTAGTGCAAAGAGAGTAGTGGGGGGTTAAAAGAGGGTTGGAATTTTTTTAAAAAATGCAGTTTAGAATGGGGGCAGAAGTTTTGGTTATAGGGGGGTGGGCGCAGGGGGAAAGAGGATGATTGGGGGAATGAGGAAGAAAAGGGGTGTGATAAAAAAAAAAAAGGGTGCTAGGAAGGGGTTTTTTTAACAAAAGCAAAGTGTTTAAAAGAGCAATTTTGGGAAGTAAAAAAAAGGGTAAAGAGAGGGGGTAGGAGTCAAAAGGGAAGCAGATATAGAGGGGAGAGGCACTGTCAAAAAATTTTAATAAAAAATAAAAAAAAATTTTTTGGAGTGAGTTAAACAATTAGAAACCTGGGGAAAATAGATTTGCATTAAAAAGAGTAGGGGAGTTAGTAGATGGGGAATGGAGGATTGGGGAGATGGCGAGAAAAATTTTGAGGAACTTTTAAAAAGTTTTAAAAAGAAACAAGGCAGTAATTTCATGCACTGGTCGGAGGTAACCATTTTAGGAGTGAAGAAGAGCAAAGTAAGTGTGGGGGGGGTCTGAGGCTTACTAAAATGAAAGGGGTAAAGCAGTGGGAAATGATATCAACGAAATTAAAAGCAGGGGGGATATAGTTTGGAGTGGTTGGTACTTTTGTTTAATAAAGTTAAAGAGGGGAAGGACCTAGGGATTGGCGGAGAGCATGTTAGTCCCTTTATATAAAGGGAAAGGGGGCAAAAAAAGACTGTAAAAAATTTTAGAGGAATAAGCTTTTTGAGTATACCAGGAAAAGTGTATGGTAGGGTTAAAATTTAAAGAATTTAAGGGAAGACGAATGTAGATTTCGGGTGAGCAAGGGTTTCAGAGTGGGTAGGGGATGGGAATCAAGTGTTTACAATGAAGCATTATGTTTAACATATTTAATAAAGGTAGGGAAATTTTTTTTTGCTTTATGGGTTAGAAAAGGCATAGATAGAGTGGATAGGACAATGTGGCAGATGTTGCAAGTATATGGAATAGGTGGTAAGTTATTAAATGCTGTAAAGAGTTTTTATGAGGATAGTGAGGCTCAGGTTAGGGTGTGTAGAAGAGAGGGAGACTACTTCCCGGTAAAAGTGGGTCTTAGACAGGGATGTGTAATGTCACCATGGTTGTTTAATATATTTATAGATGGGGTTGTAAAGGAAGTAAATGCTAGGGTGTTCGGGAGAGGGGTGGGATTAAATTTTGGGGAATCAAATTCAAAATGGAATTGACACAGTTACTTTTTGCTGATGATACTGTGCTTATGGAGATTCTAAAGAAAAATTGCAAAGGTTAGTGGATGAGTTTGGGAATGTGTGTAAAGGTAGAAAGTTGAAAGTGAACATAGAAAAGTAAGGTGATGAGGGTGTCAAATGATTTAGATAAAGAAAAATTGGATATCAAATTGGGGAGGAGGAGTATGGAAGAAGTGAATGTTTTTCAGATACTTGGGAGTTGACGTGTCGGCGGATGGATTTATGAAGGATGAGGTTAATCATAGAATTGATGAGGAAAAAAGGTGAGTGGTGCTTTGAGGTATATGTGGAGTCAAAAAACGTTATCTATGGAGGCAAAGAAGGGAATGTATGAAGTATAGTAGTACCAACACTCTTATATGGGTGTGAAGCTTGGGTGGTAAATGCAGTAGCGAGGAGACGGTTGGAGGCAGTGGAGATGTCCTGTTTAAGGGCAATGTGTGGTGTAAATATTTTACAGAAAATTCGGAGTGTGGGAAATTAGGAGAAGGTGTGGAGTTAATAAAAGTATTAGTCAGAGGGCAGAAGAGGGGTTTTTTGATGGTGGTTTGGTCATTTAGAGAGAATGGATTCAAAGTAGAATGACATGGAAAGCATATAAATCTATAGGGAAGGAAGGCGGGGTAGGGGTCGTCCTCGAAAGGGTTGGAGAGAGGGGGTAAAGGAGGTTTTGTGGGCAAGGGGCTTGGACTTCCAGCAAGCGTGCGTGAGCGTGTTAGATAGGAGTGAATGGAGACGAATGGTACTTGGACCTGACGATCTGTTGGAGTGTGAGCAGGGTAATATTTAGTGAAGGGATTCAGGGAAACCGGTTATTTTCATATAGTCGGACTTGAGTCCTGGAAATGGGAAGTACAATGCCTGCACTTTAAAGGAGGGGTTTTGGGATATTGGCAGTTTGGAGGGATATGTTGTGTATCTTCATATGTGTATGCTTCTAGACTGTTGTATTCTGAGCACCTCTGCAAAAACAGTGATAATGTGCGAGTGTGGTGAAAGTGTTGAATGATGATGAAAGTATTTTCTTTTTGGGGATTTTCTTTCTTTTTTGGGTCACCCTGCCTCGGTGGGAGACGGCCGACTTGTTGAGAAAGAAAGAATCTATATTTTTTCCTAGGTAGTAGATTGGTAGACAGCAACCGCCCAGGGAGGTACTACCGTCCTGCCAAGCGAGTGTAAAATGGAAGCCTGTAATTGTTTTACACGATGGTAGGATTGCTGGTGTCTTTTTATTCTGTCTCATACACATGCAAGATTTCAGGTACGTCTTGCTACTACTACTTACACTTAGGTCACACTACACATACATGTACAAGCATATATATACACACCCCTTTGGGTTTTCTTCTATTTTCTTTCTAGTTCTTGTTCATTTCCTCTTACCTCCATGGGGAAGTGGAACAGAATTCTTCCTCCGTAAGCCATGCGTGTTGTAAGAGGCGACTAAAATGCCGGGAGCAAGGGGCTAGTAACCCCTTCTCCTGTATATATTACTAAATGTAAAAGGAGAAACTTTCGTTTTTCCTTTTGGGCCACCCTGCCTTGGTGGGATACAGCTAGCTAGTGTGTTGAAAGAAAGAAAGATCTATATTTTTTCCTAGGTAGTAGGTTGGTAGACAGCAACCACCCAGGGAGGTACTACCGTCCTGCCAAGTGAGTGTAAAACGAAAGCCTGTAATTGTTTTACATGATGGTAGGATTGCTGGTGTCCTTTTTTCTGTCTCATGAACATGCAAGATTTCAGGTACATCTTGCTACTTCTACTTACACTTAGGTCACACTACACATACATGTGCAAGCATATATATATACACACCCCTCTGAGTTTTCTTCTATTTTCTTTCTAGTTCTAATTCTTACTTATTTCCTCTTATCTCCATGGGGAAGTGGAACAGAATTCTTCCTTCGTAAGCCATGCGTGTTGTAAGAGGCGACTAAAATGCCGGGAGCAAGGGGCTAGTAACCTCTTCTCCTGTATATATTACTAAATGTAAAAGGAGAAACTTTCGTTTTTCCTTTTGGGCCACCCTGCCTCGGTGGGATATGGCCGGTGTGTTGAAAGAAAGAAAGATCTATATTTTTCATATAATTTACATTTTTCCTATACAAAATCCAGGTTCTGCTCTCTGAATGCTAATTATTATGGGAATAATGGATAAACAATAAATATGGTAATACAGTACTTTAAAAGGAAATTGTTTAATTTTTTTTTTTAACAAGTTGGCAGTCCCACCGAGGCAGGGTGGGAGACTCAAAAAGAAAGAAAATCTCCAAAAAGAAAATACTTTCATCATCATTCAACACTTTCACCTCACTCATGCATAATCACTGTTTTTGCAGAGTTGCCCAGAATACAACAGTTTAGAAACATATACATATAAAGATACACAACATATCCCTCCAAACTGCCAAATTATTATTAAATTTAAAAAGAAAAAGTTTCATTTTTCTTTTTAGGTCACCCTGCCTCGGTGGGATATGGCCAGTTTGTTGAAAAAAAAATATAAAATTATTTAAGGTAAAGTTTGTCATTAGGTTACCTCAATTCACTTTCAGTCAAAACCACAGTTGCTCCCAGTTTGGTGAGGAATTGTTTCAACTCATTTATAGAGGGTCGATCACGTACCACATTGACTGTCTTGAGACCTAAGGCTGCTGCTATCTAAGTGGAAACAATAGAGTAAGAACACATTGAGAACTTCTATCACCTAACCTGACAGAAGGCAGCTAACATGGACAATTATATATCTGGATTGTACAAATGATCAAGGATTACCAAATCCTATTTAACCCGTAAACGGTCCAAGCAGATCTATGTTCACATGTGTAGTGCTACAAAAGTAGATCTACGTTTTTTTACATATTTTAAAATACAGTGGACCCCCGCTTTACAATCAGCTCCCAATGTGACCAATTATGTAAGTGTATTTATGTAAGTGTGTTTGTATGTGTATGTTTGGGGGTCTGAAATGGACTAACCTAATTCACAATATTCCTTATGGGAACAAATTCGGTCAGTACTGGCACTTGAACATACTTCTGGAATGAAATAATATCGTAAACTGGGGGTCCACTGTATAACAAAAAAAAAGTAGATCAAAGTTTTTTTTACACATTTTCAAATGTAAAAAAACAAAAAGATCTACTTTTTTTACATACTTTCAAATGTTGAAGAAACGTATATATACGTTTGGACTGTTTACAGGTTAATATAAGAAAATGCATGATTCTGTTTTATACAAGGAAACAAGAATTGTGTTGAAAATGCTGCCATGTTCTTTGTTAAAGTATAAGACCTGGGAGTCTTAGCACATAAATTCTTGAATGTAGCTCAGTAACTATGAGCACATTAAAAAATAGAAGATAAACAAAGAATAAAAAGGCACAATACTATGAATGGAACAATACTCAAATAACCACACACAGGAGAAAAACCTATGATGACATTTCGGTAAAACTTGTACCATTAACTAGAGCGTGACTAGTTAATGGTCCAGGTCGAACTGAAACATTGTCATAAAGTGTGAGTTATTTGTGTATAAAAGATAAACCTAACCAAGTTTGACTAATCAACTGCTCCCTTGAATACAGAGATAAACAAATTGTCCTCCTGCTCTGAATAGACAAATCACTGTTAAATCTAAGAATTCCATATAAATATGGACTATCAGATCATTTTTACACAGCAGTGGGGTTAACAAGTTGGAGGTACATGTATAAATTACCCCTCAGTGTGATACTTGAACTACAACAAGATGACTCCTTAATAATTTATGAAGAAATCATAGCTGAAGGTTCATAGCACAAGAGAAGAACAAAGATCATGGTGAAATCAATGCCATGGATTTTTGGGGTATACAAGAAAAATACATGCAGATTATTTAGCTTGACTCGACTGTATTTGTAGTAGAAGTACTATAAGTGAATTCTTAAAAAAAAAAAGCCTTTGTCATTTTTGTGCAAATCAAGACACAAACCAACATGTGTCAGAATTGTTGATCAGTACTTACAAGAATATCTGTTAAAACCAAGGCATGCTAATGGGTACCTAACTCAAGACTCCAGTATCTGAATCTTAATCACTACTACAGATGCACTGCAGTAGAGGACTTCCAAGCTTAAGACTTCCAATTATTATTATTATTATTATAATCAAGGGGGAAGCGCTAAACCCGGAACCTTCCTTGAGGGGATTAAGACTTCCAAGCATTGCTCCTGAATGGAGCAATGATTCTGAATTCAATTTACGTGCATACCTGTATAACAGCTTGTCCAACAGCCGAGTTAGCACCATTCTGAATTACAGTGTCACCACTAGTGAGAGGAACAAAGTCCTTTAGCATTCTATATGCTGTTCCTGGATTGACTGCAATAGTAGCAGCTGTTGCAAGATCAATGTCTGATGGAATCTGTAAGGTGATACATAAATTTATTAAGAAAGAAATTAAGAATGGTTCCAGAAGTGTCACATAGATGTGATTGTTGGTAATAATAAATAATAATTTATTTACAAAATATTCAGGACAGGTAAAATATGCAAAAACTTTCAATGATGCTTCCAACAATAAGATATCAACAAAAAATCTTAGACTGAAAGATTAATCTATGGCATCTGGATGCCAAACTAGAAGTGATTAGCTGCAACTATTTATGGTGTTAAAAAAAAAAAGTCTTATTTCCCACATTATTATGGGGTATATTAACAACTGCACCTACCCAAATCATAATTTAAGACTGAATAATGTGTGTAGTGAACTGGCGTAGCTCTATTTATCATTGCTATACAGTGGACCCCCGGTTTACGATATAATTTCATTCCAGAAGTATGTTCAGGTGCCAGTACTGACCGAATTTGTTCCCATAAGGAATATTGTGAATTAGATTAGTCCATTTCAGACCCCCTAACATACACATACAAACGCACTTACATAAATACTTACATAATTGGTCGCATTGGGAGCTGATCGTAAACCGGGGGTCCACTGTACGTATTAGGTTAAAAAAGATACCCTCAAATCTAACCTCTAAAACTGACCATGAGGGGTTACTCCTTCCCACCTCACAGTGCCATCCCTACTTTCTCACATCTCCCTCCCAGTCTCCACTGCCATCTTTACTCTCTCACCTCTCCTTCCCACCACCTACTGCCATCCCTGCTCTCTTACACTTTCCTCCCATCTTTCATTGTCATCCCTGTTCTCTCACACTACCCTCCTATCTTGCAATTTTATTCTGCACTCCCACATCTTCCCACCCATCACTACTTAACCTGCTCACTCACATAGTACACTCTTAGTGAACTCATTAATACAGCACTAGCAGTACCTTGATTAGTTCACTAGGGGTGGCCAAAGCATGTGTCCGCCATGTGCCAAAAGCAGTACTTCTGGGAATGACATAGTCTCCTGGCTGTAGTTCACTTCTGACCTTGTTGCCAACATCTAGAATCTCCCCAACACCCTCGTTGCCTGGTACACAGGGAGGCTTAGTCTTTACTGGATAAACTCCTTGAATAGTGTTAATGTCCGCTGGATTGACAGGTGCTGCAAGCATTCGAATCAACACCTGAAAATAGTCTATTATTAATGTATTGCACACAGTATCCTACACAAAACATCAATAAACAAAATGCTGGGTCAGTGGGAGATGGCCAACGTGTTAAAAAAATAATTAATGTAAATAAGTAAAACTAAACTTTAATCAAATTAGATTAGAAAATTTATTTAACCTCAGCTTGGTATGGACCATTACTCTGGACTTAGATTAACTGATTTTTCAGCTTCCTTGTCAGAGAGAAGCCAGCGTTACGGTGTCCTCAGCCTCGGCAACTTCAGCACAGAACTTAAGGTCTTGTAAGTAATGTACTGCCCACTTGTTCTCAACGTTGAAACAAGCATCACTTTTTCTAAGAAACTGCTAAATCTTAAAGAAGCTTCCCAGAAAAATATACACAAGCCCATACATGCTTAATATTGATGTTAAATTAAATACAAAAAAATTCCTGAAGTTTGACAAAAAAATAGAAGCCCAATATACCAAGTGAATGATACTTCTTAACCCTTAAACGGTCCAAACAGATCGACGTTCAAATTCGTAGTGCTACAAAAGTAGATCTAGTTTTTTTTACATATTTTCAAATATAACAAAAAAAAAATGTAGATAAAAGTTTTTTTTACACGTTTTCAAATGTAAAACAAAAAAGAAGATCCATATTTTTTTACATACTTTCAGATGTTGAAAAAACGTATATATACGTTTGGACCATTTAAGGGTTAAGCAATGCATAGAATATCAAATACAATTATAAGATATAAAAACTACTTACAATTGTTATTATTTTCACATAAAAACAAGATATTACCTGGAGTTTACCTGGAGAGAGTTCCGGGGGTCAACGCCCCCGCGGCCCGGTCTGTGACCAGGCCTCCTGGTGGATCAGAGCCTGATCAACCAGGCTGTTGCTGCTGGCTGCACGCAAACCAACGTACGAGCCACAGCCCGGCTGATCCGGAACTGACTTTAGGTGCTTGTCCAGTGCCAGCTTGAAGACTGCCAGGGGTCTGTTGGTAATCCCCCTTATGTGTGCTGGGAGGCAGTTGAACAGTCTCGGGCCCCTGACACTTATTGTATGGTCTCTTAACGTGCTAGTGACACCCCTGCTTTTCATTGGGGGGATGGTGCATCGTCTGCCAAGTCTTTTGCTTTCGTAGTGAGTGATTTTCGTGTGCAAGTTCAGTACTAGTCCCTCTAGGATTTTCCAGGTGTATATAATCATGTATCTCTCCCTCCTGCGTTCCAGGGAATACAGGTTTAGGAACCTCAAGCGCTCCCAATAATTGAGGTGTTTTATCTCCGTTATGCGCGCCGTGAAAGTTCTCTGTACATTTTCTAGGTCGGCAATTTCACCTGCCTTGAAAGGTGCTGTTAGTGTGCAGCAATATTCCAGCCTAGATAGAACAAGTGACCTATGTATGTATTTTTAATACTAATGCAATGCGTGAGATCTGACCAAGACCTTAACTCAATATTAGCCAAATGTGTTCGATTCCCGGCGGGTGGAAACATTTCGACACGTTTCCTTACACCTGTTGTCCTGTTCACCTAGCAGCAAATAGGTACCTGGGTGTTAGTCGACTGGTGTGGGTCGCATCCTGGGGGACAAGATTAAGGACCCCAATAGAAATACGTTAGACAGTCCTCGATGATGCACTGACTTTCTTGGGTTATCCTGGGTGGCTAACCCTCCGGGGTTAAAAATCCGAACGAAATCTTATCTCATCTTATCTTAAAGACTGCCCTAAATTCCAACTCAAAATTTGAACATATAATGTCAGGGGCTGAAGACTATTCAACTGCCTCTCAGGATACATAAGGGGAATTACCAATAGACCCCTGGTTGTCTTCATGAAGGAGTTAGGAAGGTACCTAAAGTCAGTAATTGACCAGCCAGGCTGTGGTTCGCACATCGGTTTACATGTGGCCAGAAGCAACAGCCTGGTTGATCACGAAGCCTGGTCATGGACAGGGCTACGGGGGCGTTGACCCCTAAAACACCCTTTAGGTACACTCCAGGTAGGGAAGCTCTAAACCTGTATTATAATTATTATAATCAAGGGGGAAGCGCTAAACCCGGAGGATTATACAGCGCCTGGGGGGGGATGTGGAAGGCATTCAGGCTTAATTCGGGGAACTGGAGCACAGATCCAATTCCCTAAATCAAGAGCCCCTCACCAACATCAAGGAACCTTCCTTGAGGGGTCTAAACCTGTAGGGGGTTATAAGACGCCTGAGGAATGTAAAGCAACTGTGATACGAGGAAGGCAATGGTAGCTCCAATTCCTTGGAACAACAGGTACTTTACCAGCATAAAGGTACTAACTAACCTTAGTAAGTTTATTCAGGTATACACAAATAGTTACGTATGTGTAGACAACCCAGGATAACCCAAAAAAAAGTCAAAGTGACTTATTTCCATTGTGGTCCTTTATGGCGGTATATATTATTATTATTCACACACCAGCTCATCAATTATTATTATAATCTGAAAGAAGCGCTAAACCACAAGGGTTATACAGCTCACCTGATCATCTTTCAGCTGCTGGGGGATGACAGTGTCTATCTGTTTAACAACTTTCAGTGGGTCTCCATACTCTTCATAGATTAAGGACGTCCCACCACCTGAAAACTGACTAATTCTCTGACTGTCAGCGACATAAACCCTGAAAGTACGAAGAAAAACCTGACGAGTCCTGCTCAACATTATCATCCTCTACCCGGTGTAGTGATCCTCTTGTCTTCCTTCACTCATGTCTCTTGGCCCCTCAGGGAAGGTTCCTTGATGTTGGTGAGGGGCTCTTGATTTAGGGAATTGGATCTGTGCTCCAGTTCCCCGAATTAAGCCTGAATGCCTTCCACATCCCCCCCCCAGGCGCTGTATAATCCTCCGGGTTTAGCGCTTCCCCTTGATTATAACAATCTTGGCCCCTCAAGGGAGGTTCCTTGATGTTGGTGAGGGGCTCTTGATTTAGGGAATTGGATCTGTGCTCCAGTTCCCCGAATTAAGCCTGAATGCCTTCCACATCCCCCCCCCAGGCGCTGTATAATCCTCCGGGTTTAGCGCTTCCCCTTGATTATAATAATCATGTCTCTTGGATTTATGTCAACTGGCACACATTAAATGTTCCTAATGCTTTATATGGGCTTCTTTAACCTCGCCAGGAGCTTTATCATGTCACTGTGATAAACCTCCCGGCAGACATGTAACTGTTATATCATTATGGAGAAGTGCTAAACCCGTAGGGTTATACAGTGCAGGTGGGGGGGTGGAAGGTATTCAGGCTTAATTCAGGGAACTGGAGCACAGATCCAATTCCCCAGATCAAGAGCCCCTCACCAGCATCAAGGAACCTCCCTTAAGGGGACATATAACTTAAAAGGCACCTAAGTCCCCCTGTCTTCTAACATCATGTTCATTTTTCCACTGTAATCTACCTTGTCCACAATTACTATTACATTTGTCTGTTTGGTAAGGTGAAGTCCAGGATCTTTCCTTAATTCACGGTATAAATTAACAAATATTTAACAAATATTTGTTAAGTTATACCATGAATTAAGGAAAGATCCTGGACTTCACCTTACGAGCCCCTCATGGGCTGGTGAGGGGCTCTTGATCTAGGGAGTTGGAGATGTGCTCTTCCCTGAATTAAGCCTGAATACCTTCCATCCCCCCGCCACAGGCTCTGTATAATCCTACGGGTTTAGCGCTTCCCCATTATAATAATTCACCTTACGAAACAGACAAATGTGATATTAATTATGAATAAGATAGATTATGGTGGAAAAAATGAACATGTTATTAGAAGACAGGGATACGTAAGTGCCTCTTAAATCATATGGTGTTAAATTAGACACATGTGCAACTCTTGGGTATCTTTATTGAGGAAACGTTTCGCCACACTGTGGCTTCATCAGTCCATACTTACTTATTTACATTCTGTGACGGCACGTACAACACTGTATAAGTAAATAGGTTTATTCAGGTTAACACATACATAGCAGCATATGTGTCAAGAACATAGGTTGTTAAGTAAAAGGACAAAAGTGCAACTAATATGACATTTTCTTGTGGCAACGTTTCGCTCTCCAGGAGCTTTGTCAATCTTGATTAAGCTCCTGGAGAGCGAAACGTTGCCACAATAAAAAATCACATTAGTTGCACTTATTTCCTTTTACTTAACATATTGTGGATAATTCTACCAACATTAATACGACTATCGGTGGCCTGGTGGCTAAAGCTCCCGCTTCACACACGGAGGGCCCGGGTGGAAACATTCGACACGTTTCCTTACACCTGTTGTCCTGTTCACCTAGCAGCAAATAGGTACCTGGGTGTTAGTCGACTGGTGTGGGTCGCATCCTGGGGGACAAGATTAAGGACCCCAATGGAAATAAGTTAGTAAGTAAGTAAGTAAGTAAGTAAGTTTATTCAGGTAAACACAAATACAGTTACATAGAATTATCATACATAGCAGCATATGTGTAGGGAACCTAGGATAACCCAAAAAAGTCAGACAGAGTGACTTATTTCCATTGGGGTCCTTTTACCTTATTATTATAGTATAAAGGTTATAATATTTTCTTATTATTCTACAATGAAGATAACATCTTATTATCATACTAAAAAGACTATCTGCTACACCAAGGTCATTAAGACTATCTACAATACGATTATTATTATTATTATAATCAAGGAGGAAGCGCTAAACCCAGAGGATTATACAGCGCCTGGGGGGGGGATGTGGAAGGCATTCAGGCTTAATTTGGGGAACTGGAGCACAGATCCAATTCCCTAAATCAAGAGCCCCTCACCAACATCAAGGAACCTTCCCTGAGGGGAGACAGTTAGACAGACAGTTAGGGGAGTTAGACAGTCCTCGATGACGCACTGACTTTCTTGGGTTATCCTGGGTGGCTAACCCTCCGGGGTTAAAAATCCGAACGAAATCTTATCTTATCTTATCTTATCTTATCGGGTTACAATTACCACAGCCCTATAATCCAACAATAACAACGTGGTGGACACACCGGCAGTACGACGGAGAACTCCAGGTGGCCCTATAAACCCCAACAACAACAACAACAACAGCAACCTGCACTTCATCTCTGCTGCCGTATGGACGTCTGATTCTTGCCTCAGCATTGATGATAAATTTCCCTCGTTCCTTCTGGGACACATGTCCACATCTTATTCTGCCTTAGGTGAGGGTGTGGGCGTCCCGCTCTGCTGGAGACCTTAACCAGGCGTCCACTGGGAACTTAGTTTCTGCTTTTGTTTGCATGGGACTTTTATTCCCTTTCATCCCCCAGATTTGGACAATAAATGTCTTCCTCATACATCGGGAAGTAGATCTCAATATACCTGTCAGTGGCCCGTGAAGCCCACACCAATAAGATAAATGAAAATGTGGACCAGCTCTTATTTTTTTTACATTATTATTATTATAATCAAGGGGAAGCGCTAAACCCGGAGGATTATACAGCGCCTGGGGGGGATATGGAAGGCATTCAGGCTTAATTCGGGGAACTGGAGCACAGATCCAATTCCCTAAATCAAGAGCCCCTCACCAACATCAAGGAACCTTCCTTGAGGGTTTTTTTTTTATTTACAGCATGCTGTATCTCTTAGAAGATAAATTATTATAATCATAACTAAGCGCTAAACCCATAAGGGTCATACGGCTTTGTCTTAGAAGATGAAGAAATACAAAGTTGCACTGCATGTACATTGTTGGGCAGAGTAAGCCTCCTGGAGTATACCTGAAGGGTATTCTGAGGGTCAATACCCCCAGGCCCTGGGGGTAGATCAGGGCTTCAAGGAAGGTTTCTTGTTGCTGGCGAGAGGCTTCACGGAATTGGCCCCTAAAGGGAGGTTACTTAATGCTGGTGAGGGGGCTCTTAATCTTGGGAATTGGATCTGTGCTAAGTAAGTAAGTTTATTCAGGTATACACAAATACAGTTACATAGAATCATCATACATAGCAGCATATGTGTATTATTATTATAATCAAAAAGAAGCGCTAAGCCACAAGGGCTATACAGCAGCATATGTGTAGAGAACCTGATATAACCCAAAAAAGTCAGACAGAGTGACTTAATTCCATTGGGATCCTTTTACCTTATTATTATAATATGAAGGTTATAATATTTTCTTATTATTCTATAATGAAGATAACATCTTATTATCATACTAAAAAGACTATCTACTACACGAGGGTCATTACTAGGAATGAGGTAAAATTTGAACATTAAAATGGTATAAAATACCGACAGGTTGTTAGGTAAGACACATATGCAACAGTTAGGTATCTTTATTTCGAAACGTTTCGCCCACACAGTAGGCTTCTTCAGTCGAGTACAGAAAAGTTGATAGAAGCAGAGTTCCACTTCTCCATGGAGATAAGAGGAAATAAACAAGAACAAGAACTAGAAAGAAAATAGCAGAAAACCCAGAGGGGTGTGTATATATATATATATGCTTGTATATGTATGTGTAGTGTGACCTAAGTGTAAGTAGAAGTAGCAAGACGTACCTGTAATCTTGCATATTTATGAGACAGACAAAACACACCAGCAATCCTACCATCATGTAAAACAATTACAGGCTTTTGTTTTACACTCACTTGGCAGGACGGTAGTACCTCCCTGGGCAGTTGCTGTCTACCAACCTACTACCTTACATTATTATTATTATTATTATTATTATTATTATGATTATTATTTTCATCATTATTATTATTCTTTCAACAAACCGGCCGTATCCCGCCGAGGCAGGGTGGCCCAAAAAGAAAAACAAAAGTTTCTCTTTAATTTAGTAATTTATACAGGAGAAGGAGTTAATTATTATTATTATATTAATGTTAATCATTAATCCTGTAGGAACCAATGAAAGTTATGCCTTTGTCCATTATTAGAAAGAGATATTACTCTCTCAACCAAAACACACTGCAATTTGAAAGAATATGTAATTTATCAGAACATTAGTAGTACTATACATTTATTTTAAGTTTGATCTAGTTTATATATCCTTTAATAAATGTGCTACAGTACTTTAGTCACAGAGTTCAACATTGATAATCTATTTTTATTTTTCAGAAAATGGCAGGTTTTCAAGAACCACTTGCTAAAAGGCCAAAAATTGAAGGATACTGCAGATTTAATTCAAAATCAACCCACATACCTATACAGCAAAGTCCAGTGAGGAATGTGAATGGATACTTTGGTAATAAACAACACAGTAGTAATATCCCAGTTCCTAAAAGCATTAACACTCCTCAAGGAAAAGCTAATGGAAGTGGAGGTATTCACAGTAATAGAAATACTGATCATTTGAAAAATCTCTTTAAACAAAGATCTGCTCTGCCAATTTTTCCTGCTCGGTCAAGATTACTGGAAGAACTGAAAAAGAGTGATGTTGTTATTGTGATTGGTGAGACGGGGAGTGGGAAAACAACACAAATTCCTCAGTACCTGCATGAAGAGAGATGGGATCGCAAGGGAACCATCTGTATCACTCAGCCTCGTAGAGTGGCAGCCATAACCATAGCTAAGAGGGTAGCTGAGGAAATGAACACAAATTTAGGTGGCTTGGTTGGATATTCAGTGCGTTTTGAGGAATTGGTGTCACAGAGTACAAAACTTAAATATGTGACTGATGGTATGTTATTGCGGGAAGCTATTTCTGATCCCTTGCTCAGTAAATACAGTTGGATTATATTGGATGAAGCCCATGAAAGGACCATTAGTACAGATGTGTTATTTGGTATTGTTAAAGGTGCTCAGAAGAGTCGAAAAATAGTTGCAGGTGATCCCCTTAAAGTAATTGTCATGTCAGCCACAATGGATGTTGACCACTTTAGCAACTATTTTAATAAATGCCCTGTGTTGTACATTGAAGGTCGGCAGCATCCAGTAGAGATGTTCTATGCTAGAGAAAAACAGGAAGATTATATCTTGGCTACTATGAGTACTGTATTTCAAATACATAAAGAAGCTCCACCACAACATGATATTTTGGTGTTTTTGACAGGCCAGGAAGAAATTGATTCAGTGACACACAGTATCCGGCAGATTGCAAAGGACAGCAGCTTACAAGAATATCCAAAATTAAGAGTTTATCCATTATATGCAGCCTTACCGGCACTTCAACAACTTGATGTCTTTAGAGAAACAGCCTCTGGAGAGAGAAAAATAATAATTAGTACAAACATCGCAGAAACATCAGTAACCATTCCAGGAATTCGTTATGTGGTTGATTCAGGAAGAGCAAAAATTCGCACTTACATCCCAGGTAGTGGTTTTGATGTCTTAAAAGTGAAAAAAATTTCTCAAGCCCAGGCTTGGCAGAGGACAGGGCGTGCTGGACGAGAAACATCTGGTTGTTGTTATAGAGCATATACGTTAAATGAATTTAATGCAATGACTGTTAATCCAGTTCCAGAAATTTTGCGTTCAAATTTGGCTAGTGTAATTCTGCAACTTGTTGCCGTTGGTATAAAGAACATATTGACTTTTGATTTCATAGATAAGCCAAGTGCACTGCATGTCCAGCAAGCAGTAGAGCACCTGTCATTGCTTGGTGCTATCACCTTAAGATCTGAAACATTGGAATTGACAGAAACTGGGAAGAAAATGGCACAGTTTCCCATTGACCCTAGATATGCCAAAATCATCCTCAGTGGACCAGAGTACGGTTGTACTGATGAGGTCAGTAATTCACCCCTTTGTCGTTCTTCGTTTGAAGCTGATATTCTGTAGCTTCTATTAGCATGCTGATTTAGTAGTAACTGCTGAGAATCTTGTAAATGTCTGAGTTTTGTATTTAATTAAGCAATGAAGTATCACAGAATAATAGTTAAGGATGTATTTTGAATGTGCATAAAAGGAATGCGTATTTTATCAACAATTTTTTTCCATATTTCAGGATTAATAACAAAAATTGTAATTGTTTTACTTATAGATCCTGACAATTGTGGCTGTTTTGTCAAGTGAATCTATATACATAAATCCCAGTGGGAAAAAGGATGTTGCTGCAAATACAAGACGCAAGTTTACCTCTGTGGAAGGTGACCACATTACTATGCTTAAAATCTTCCGAGCATTTAAAGCTTCAAAAGAAAATAAGGTGAGAGAATACAGATTTGAGTCTTCACAGTATGCATTGGCATACCTCTGGCAAGACAGTGATGGAGTGAGTGATGATGAAAGTGTTTCTTCTTTTTCGGGTCACCCTGCCTCAGTGGGAAATGCCCGATGTGTTTAAAAAACAGAAATAGACAGTATGGGATCCAGTGAATTTGTATAATGTTACTAGACTTGTGAAAAATGCTGAACTAAATTCTAGATACAATATGTACTGTATTGCACATCAGTGTCATGCAGATGCCAGCTCAACATAGTCTTTTGGCTAATATGTATGAAAACCTTAAGAGTATGTGATCAATAAATTTCAAAATCTTACTTTTGCCCAGGCATGGAATCACCATTGAAAATTATTTTAAATTATACAGTGAACATATTGATGAAGATGAAACACCATGAGCATATATTGATTCCTGGAGCTACAAATAGATAGACAAATACAAATTTCAGCAGAAAATAACAGTGCTGTATTTAAGGGATCATTGTTCCCATGACCCAGGGTAATGATCCCCAGGAAACATTGCATGATAGGAAACACAAAAGAAAAGAAAGGCATGTACTGAATGAAGGTACAGAGAAGTTTGTAAGGTTAACTTGTCGTTCTGCATGCTCATGAGATGAAGGAATGACCAGCAATCCTGCCAAAGTGCAAAACTTTTAACAGGTTTCTGTTTCATATTCGTATGACAGGATGGTAAAACCTCACTGGTTGGTTATTGTCATTTAGTGTACAGTATGTTCCCTTCTACCAAAATTCCTAACACAGTTCAGAAGAAAGCTAATCATCTACTCTTGAATCATTAGATTCCTGCCATTACATTTGTGCCTTTTTGCCAGGAAGCTCTCAGGTTATGTGCCCCTTCTTATGTAGGGTCAAGTAATAAGAACATAAGAATGGAGGAACACTGCAGAAGGCCTACTGGCCCATACAAGGCAGGTCCTTATCAAAACCACCCCTTCCCAAAGCTACTCAAGAATTTACTCCCGTTGTTGCATTTTTTCCACTCCACAGTCACATAATGCAGCAAGTTACCATCATATAGATATCTTTCATTACAATTGTTATCTAGTCCTAAAAAGCAGTGTTTGTGGAGAAAATATTGTTAATGCTTGACCAGCCTTTCTGCAGAAGCTTATTATCAGCTATGCAAATTATAGTTGTCCTCACATTAAATTAGAAGTTTTTAGGAGGCATTTAAAACCTATGCAAAAAAAAATGTGTCTTACAAAATAACATATTGAGAAATGCTAAATACACAAGGTCCATATAGTGCCTGAGAAGTGGAAGGTAATCAGGTTTGATCCAAGGAAGGGGGTAATAATTCTAAATTCCTTGGACGAAAAGTCCTTCATTGGCATCAAGACATCCTTCTTGTATGTATTTAATAATAAGTATAGTAAGCATTGAAGGTTTTAATTACTAAAGACAATGTTGTAATTAGAAATTCTGCACCCTGCAGGTGTGGGCCCATGAAAACTACCTGAATCACCGCAACCTGATGTATGCTATTGCAGTGCGCAAGCAGCTGGTTCAGGTCTGCCAGAGGTGTGATATATCAATTGTGTCCTGCCAGCAGAACTTTGATTCAGTTCGTAGGTATGTAATCTTATTTATTTCTAGTTGTTTAGGAAATTTTTCCGAATTTCACCCCCAGATAAAAATCTAAGCCAAGGTATAGCGTCAAAACCACAAATACATGTATATGGGTTTCAGTTATTCATTATTTTTGTCTTAGTATTTACCATAAATATCCTTGTGAATGTTAATATTCAGATTAACTGAAGTTTAAAGAGAAATGTCCTCTGAAACACAAAATGAACTCATATCCATATTATTTGCAGAGCCTTTACAAATGTAACCCCCACAAATTTTTTGGTATGGCTGCACTTTTTTTTTTTTTTTTTAGGTGTAATATAACATTCATTGAATTTGTTGCAGGTGCATAGTAGCTGGACTCTTCACTAATGTTGCAGAGTTGCAGTTTGGTGGCAAGTATATAACACTCGACACAAAACAAGAGGCTACCCTTCATCCAACTTCTGTCTTGTTTGGTGGGAAACCTGCTTATGTCCTGTTCTCAGAACTAGTTGTGACAGGAAAAACATACATGCATATCAATTCTGTTGTAGATGCACAATGGTTATATGAAGTGGCACCAGAATACTTCAGAAAACGTCATATTAAGAGATGAAAATAAATCTTGGATGCACAGTATTTTATAATCAGTCTGACAGATTATATTAACAGAAAGTGCTAAGCCCATGTAGGTCATTTATTATTACCTGGCAAGGGTGAGAGAAGCAATGTTGCAGGGAGGATATCAGTTCAAAGAGGAAAAATGAGATCACAGTTGATACATCGTTATTTAAGGGTTAATAGAGAATCTTCATTAAATGTGGGATAGTAATCAATGACAATGATTGTGATACATATGCCATGTGTACAATATATTATTATTATTATAGACTATTGTAACATTTGGGGTAGTTTCAGACTCCTTTAGTGCTTAGCAGGCTATCAAAAAATTTTATTTGCCTCATTATATTATATTAACACATCAGCCATCTCCCACCAAGGCAAGGTGCCCCGAAAAAGAAAAACTTTCACCATCGTTCACTTCATCACTGTCTTGCCAGAGGCACACTTACACTACAGTTATAAAACTGCAACATTAACACCCCTCCTTCAGAGTGCACTATACTGCACTCTGCCTCATCTCCTAGTTTTTCGTATACAGCTTTGGTTGCACAGCATTTCTAGCAAAAACAAAGAAATTGTTTTCTGCTGGGTCCCTGGTTATGTGGATGTTTGGGACAACGAACAGGTGGACTCTGCTGCATGGTCAGCTGTACATGACCTCCACGTTTCTTGTAGGGATATTCCATTCTCAGACTATTTTGCTGTAATGTCTAGCCACCTTCGCAACTGCACTCTCCCATCTTCATTTCGGGCACACACATCTCACTCACGGGTATCTCATGGAGAGGCACCCAGTTCCAATTTTTTGAGAATTGTACAGTTCTAATTTCAGTTTTCCATATTCTGTTAGACTATCCTCTCTACTACTGAGCATGCAGATTTATCTCCGACGTATTCACCAATCTGACACCATTACTTTATCTTCCCTACTCACTGAGGGCCCCACCTTTGACACAGACTCCCACTTTGACTTTTTTGTCAGCAACAGTTTTATTACACCAACTTTGATTATACTTCCTGCAGCGCTGCATGAACCTCATGGGTTTAGCACTCAGTTATGATTATAATATAGACAATTGGTAATTAATAATATAGACTATTGGTATTTAACAAAATAATCTTGTTCCCAGAATGTCATTGCTACTTACCATATGGTAAACACTGTAACAACTGATAGAGGCAAGTTTCCAGAGTACATATTGGCCTTTACAGCCAATTTTGATTACACATTAAACAATACCTATTCTTGTTATTAAATTAACATTAAAATACAAGGAATACAGTAACAAATTATGTAACAATTATCAGTGAACTACAGTGGGTGAAAATCCATTTCTCAAGTGCCAAGTTTTCAAGTTTATTGCATTTAGCTTGTTCTATTTGATTTCTATAGTTCATGATTTCTAGTTTAGTTTGGGCAAAGATATATTTTTATAATGTCTGTAAATCAGAATAAGATGGGAGATGGAGGAAGTTGGATTAATCATATGATAATAGATAAATTAGGGTTGTTACCTCCATCCTCTCTTTATCTAATTCTGTTTAGCCTATGATACCTCTTATCTGAATATGTGTATGTTTGAAGATATATTTAGATTCAAGCAAGATAGGTATAATATTATAATGCTATTCACAAGAAAGCACTAAAATAAGATCAGAATTATCATCATAGTCATGGGAATTTATAAAAGAACATAACGGATCATAAAGCGCTTGAAGACTCTGTCCTGCCTGACATGACTATTAAATGTCACTCCTCTCCACATGCTGTACATTTAATTCCTCCCATCTCTTTACTTTTGCCTCTTCACAACATACTAATACTTATTAATTATTTTTTAAGGAGAAGCACTTGATAGGAGTCATGCAGCACCTGGGAAATGGGACATGTTAGTTTGATCCAAGAAAGACAAACATGTCTAATTTCTTAGATCAAAAAGCCCCTTCCTTACCAGCAGCAAGGAACCTCCCTTGAAGGGTCTTTGGTCTCTTGTGCTAAGCAAACTTTGACTTTCCTTATTAACTCTTAAGTTCTCTGTTTCTCTCTCACTTATTACAGATCGACCATCACTAATCCGGCATCATTGGGACCTGTAGGGTGCCAGACCTGGCATGGTAAACCACAGGAATCTGTATTGTACCTTTGAAAGCCTTTGGATGTAAACTCTACCGATGATGCTAGCCAAAATTAGGGCCGGATTAGTGATGGCCGACCTGTGTTATCATCACCCTTCACACTACGATACTTACTTTTGCTGATAGGGTCCTTCTGTCTTACTGAATTTGTGATCTATATGGGTTTAAAGCATTTTATGAATACTGTATGATAGCATTAAGGCATCACCATTGAAGGGAGCAAGATCAGTAAATATATTTGATTACACCATATTTTTTTTTCCTAAAAAGATTAACATGTTAATGGTAAGTCTTTCACTTCAGTTTAACTACAGGTTCCTGTGAATTTTTTTTACGTGTTTTGTAATTTGTGTAGGTTAAAAAATATATATATTTATGTAGAATTTATTTAAACCACACCTGACCAGTACTTACTAAAATATATATTAATATATGTATACCTGTACAAATATAGATAAATATTTCACACTTGTTCTACAGACCAGTATCCCAGTGTTTATCTTCATTATACCGGACACCAATATGTTAATTTTTCAGAGTATGCAAATAGTTATCTTTCTTGACATAAAAAAATTATTAGTGAAAATATATTCTCAGAAGTAAATGATAGATATATCCTATATGAGTGCTGCAGTGTTGTTTTTTACATGTTAACTTATGACCCTTGTAGGTTTAGCACTTCTTTATTACAATAATAATAATACTACACGTAAACTCTGGGGTGAACCATTACGCATTTTAATTACATATTGCTCTGATTTTTATCTTTAAAAAAGCTATATTCCCCATACATGTTAAGTGCATTTTTAAATCTAGTAATAACATACTAGTCAAAATAAATCGGTAAACTTGTATGGGTCATTCTGAACTTCTTTACAACATAAAATAGGGTCCTGATACTTATAGATTCTCCCAATGGAACTATTTCTGATGTACTAGATTTCAGAAAAATAAATAAATAAATAAAAGCACAGCAGTAATTTTAAATCTGACTTTACAAAATCTTATATAAAGGCTTTCTAGGAAGATAATTTATATACTACTATCTGGAAAATATTATATACACGTCAAGAAATTATCTTTCACAAGATTTTTGTAATGTGATTGAGACTGTACATCAAAGATTGAATAGTACATACTATAAGGGTTTTTCCACAGGCAATTCAATTTTACATGTATTTTCTCAATCACACTTACAAAAAGTCACATTATGTGAAGGAGCTTTATAAGAGAGAGGACTGTGTATAATTGTTTTTTGCTTGCCACTTGAGAGCATTTTCAGAATTAAATATAACACTGCTGATCAAATGCTTAAGCTACCTTGATAATATATATATACATATCATAGATTTTTAAATCAAAATCCATTACTAAAACAATGTTAAAAGACGGTACTGGAAATTTAAACAAAATTAAAAATGTATATATACAACTAACAAAATATTTACTTTTACTGAATTCAGTTTCAGCAAATAATTTTGCAACTAAATCTTGTTTACATTATTTCAACAACAATGTGTTAACATTCAAATTCTCACAAAGTAGTGACTATACCCATATGTTGGTCCCACATGATCAAATAGCAAAAGGCGCATTGATTCTTCTATAAGAATTTTACGAGCACCTCACAATGATACATTTTAATCTTCCTCTACTGGTGCTCCAGTATCTTAGTTTCTTTTATTCAACCACATCTGCCATCCAGAGAAGATTAATGTCACCGCATACAAACCAGCTGCAATTCCACAGTTCTTTGCTATCTGCAAAAAACATGACAAAAAGAGATGTTAAAATTACGTGAAGAAAAGTCTCCAAAGCACTGCTTTGTAATTTGCCAAGAGTATTATCAGATTTCAAATTGCAAATATGCTAAGAACATGTAACAGTGCACCAATATTACTTCTGTACAGGAATCTGACAAACTAGGAGGTATACAGCAGTAGATTCTTTAAATGTAATCCTGTGTTGCACTTTATCACAGCAAATTTATATAGTGTAGCTAGTAATGATAAAACTTTAAACAAGGAGATAGCAGTACTTTCCCAAAGCATACACATGAAGTTGACCATTATCCAGCATTAGGCAGCAGTCACAAGTGATTAAGTTTTTTGTACAATAACAACTACATGCCACAGTACTACAGTATAATTCCCCCTCATATCAATCATTACAAGAAATCATACATGCCACATTAACACTTTTCATTGTCAACAGGGAGAACCATATGAAACATTAAGTGTAATTTTTAATTTGAAATGAAGAGTAATTTCTATAATTAAAACAACTGCACTAAATTTTTAAGTGTGCAATTAACCAGGATATTTTTTGATCAACTATGGAACTTATTTTGCATCAAATTTTCAAAAAACATCATGATTAAATGAGCAACTGGGGCAACTGATATATCGGATCATTATTTAGTTGTAGCTACAGTTAGAGTAAGAGGTAGATGGGAAAAGAGGAAGGTGGCAACAACAAGTAAGAGGGAGGTGAAAGTGTATAAACTAAGGGAGGAGGAAGTTCGGGGGAGATATAAGCGACTATTGGCAGAAAGGTGGGCTAGTGCAAAGATGAGTAGTGGGGGGGTTGAAAAGGGTTGGAATAGTTTTAAAAATGCAGTATTAGAATGTGGGGCAGAAGTTTGTGGTTATAGGAGGGTGGGGGCAGGTGGAAAGAGGAGTGATTGGTGGAATGATGAAGTAAAGGGTGTGATAAAAGAGAAAAAGTTAGCTTATGAGAGGTTTTTACAAAGCAGAAGTGTTATAAGAAAAGCAGAGTATATGGGGAGTAAAAGAAAGGTGAAGAGAGTGGTGAGAGAGTGCAAAAGGAGAGCAGATGATAGAGTGGGAGAGGCACTGTCAAGAAATTTTAATGAAAATAAGAAAAAATTTTGGAGTTAAACAAGTTAAGAAAGCCTAGGGAAAGTATGGATTTGTCAGTTAAAAACAGAGTAGGGGAGTTAGTAGATGGAGAGAGGGAGGTATTAGGTAGATGGCGAGAATATTTTGAGGAACTTTTAAATGTTGAGGAAGAAAGGGAGGCGGTAATTTCATGCATTGGTCAGGGAGGTATACCATCTTTTAGGAGTGAAGAAGAGCAGAATGTAAGTGTGGGGGAGGTACGCGAGGCATTACGTAGAATGAAAGGGGGTAAAACAGCTGGAACTGATGGGATCATGACAGAAATGTTAAAAGCAGGGGGAATATAGTGTTGGAGTGGTTGGTACTTTTGTTTAATAAATGTATGAAAGAGGGGAAGGTACCTAGGGATTGGCAGAGAGCATGTATAGTCCCTTTATATAAAGGGAAAGGGGACAAAAGAGATTGTAAAAATTATAGAGGAATAAGTTTATTGAGTATACCAGGAAAAGTGTACGGTAGGGTTATAATTGAAAGAATTAGAGGTAAGACAGAATGCAGGATTGCAGATGAGCAAGGAGGTTTCAGAGTGGGTAGGGGATGTGTAGATCAAGTGTTTACATTGAAGCATATATGTGAACAGTATTTAGATAAAGGTAGGGAAGTTTTTATTGCATTTATGGATTTAGAAAAGGCATATGATAGAGTGGATAGGGGAGCAATGTGGCAGATGTTGCAAGTATATGGAATAGGTGTTAAGTTACTAAATGCTGTAAAGAGTTTTTATAAGGATAGTGAGGCTCAGGTTAGGGTGTGTAGAAGAGAGGGAGACTACTTCCCGGTAAAAGTAGGTCTTAGACAGGGATGTGTAATGTCACCATGGTTGTTTAATATATTTATAGATGGGGTTGTAAAAGAAGTACTAAATGCTAGGGTGTTCGGGAGAGGGGTGGGATTAAATTATGGGGAATCAAATTCAAAATGGGAATTAACACAGTTACTTTTTGCTGATGATACTGTGCTTATGGGAGATTCTAAAGAAAAATTGCAAAGGTTAGTAGATGAGTTTGGGAATGTGTGTAAAGGTAGAAAGTTGAAAGTGAACATAGAAAAGAGTAAGGTGATGAGGGTATCAAATGATTTAGATAAAGAAAAATTGGATATCAAATTGGGGAGGAGGAGTATGTAAGAAGTGAATGTTTTCAGATACTTGGGAGTTGACGTGTCGGCGGATGGATTTATGAAGGATGAGGTTAATCATAGAATTGATGAGGGAAAAAAGGTGAGTGGTGCATTGAGGTATATGTGGAGTCAAAAAACGTTATCTATGGAGGCAAAGAAGGGAATGTATGAAAGTATAGTAGTACCAACACTCTTATATGGGTGTGAAGCTTGGGTGGTAAATGCAGCAGCGAGGAGATGGTTGGAGGCAGTGGAGATGTCCTGTCTAAGGGCAATGTGTGGTGTAAATATTACGCAGAAAATTCGGAGTGTGGAAATTAGGAAAAGGTGTGGAATTAATAAAAGTATTAGTCAGAGGGCAGAAGAGGGGTTGTTGAGGTGGTTTGGTCATTTAGAGAGAATGGATCAAAGTAGAATGACATGGAAAGCATATAAATCTATAGGGAAAGGAAGGCGAGGTAGGGGTCATCCTCGAAAGGGTTGGAGAGAGGGGGTAAAGGAGGTTTTGTGGGCAAGGGGTTTGGACTTCCAGCAAGCGTGCGTGAGCGTGTTAGATAGGAGTGAATGGAGACGAATGGTACTTGGGACCTGACGAGCTGTTGGAGTGTGAGCAGGGTAATATTTAGTGAAGGGATTCAGGGAAACCGGTTATTTTCATATAGTCGGACTTGAGTCCTGGAAATGGGAAGTACAATGCCTGCACTTTAAAGGAGGGGTTTGGGATATTGGCAGTTTGGAGGGATATGTTGTGTATCTTTATATGTATATGCTTCTAAATTGTTGTGTTCTGAGCACCTCTGCAAAAACAGTGATTATGTGTGAGTGTGGTGAAAGTGTTGAATGATGATGAAAGCATTTTCTTTTTGGGGATTTTCTTTCTTTTTTGGGTCACCCTGCCTCGGTGGGAGACGGCCGACTTGTTGGAAAAAAAAAAAAATTTACTATCCTCTTTTTAACAATTGCAGTACTGTATATAACTTGGATCACTCAACTAAAGTTAAACAGTTTTTATGCCATGTTCTCAAAAACTAACTAAACTAACGTAGCAACTTAACCTGCTAAAATTTCCTTATTATAAAATAGGTCAATTTATCTAACCTAACCTTCAGCTGTTTCCCTTGACAAAAGAGGACCCCAGGCTTTCTTTTAACCCATTCTAGAGCTGGACAATGAGTAATTTTGATGCAGCTGCTACCACAAGGAATAAAAAAAATTGCAAATAACAATAACACTAATCTAGCACAAAAATATTAAATAACTTACCGTCAGGATTTCCAATTGCAAGAGTGTAAAAACAAAATAATGTTAAGTATCCCATACACAAAGATAATGATCACCTGCAAGGTATTCAGGGTTATCTATCAACAAAACCTCTAAACTTATCAATTTAAAATATACGAACAACTACAGATGCACACACATGCATAGCCCTGGTCCTGTACTGATAGAGGTAATATCTATTGATATATCTATCTCACTCTCCCTCACTTGTCAAGCTATCACACTCACTCTCACTTTCATTAAACTCTCACTCACTTTCATTAAATCTCACTCACTAATCTCACACACTCACTCTCACTCAGTAGCAGCTCATCCATAGGAGCTACAAAGCTGAAGTCCCCCCCCCCCCCGATGCTCACTGCCAGACGTATGACTTCATCAGCCTTACGCTAAAATAATTTGCAACTGACAATACATTACAGGAAAAATCTGTTGTATGTTGTTTTCAATGTACAGTGGACCCCCCGCTTAACGATCACCTCCCAATGTGACCAATTATGTAAGTGTATTTATGTAAGTGCATTTGTACGTGTATGTTTGGGGGTCTGAAATGGACTGATCTACTTCACAATATTCCTTATGGGAACAAATTCGGTCAGTACTGGCACCTGAACATACTTCTGGAATGAAAAAATATCGTTAACCGGGGGTCCACTGTATTTATAAGCAATTTTTTTGTTGTTGTTGAAACGATAAAAAATGATTAAAAATAGAAGTTTGATGCAGTACGATAGTACAGGTATTACTGGCATTACAAGCCGCCACTGCTCTGACTCCGTGTCACACACTATATAAAGAAAATATACTTTTTATTTACTTCATGGGGAAGTGCTGAACCTGCAAGAATCATAAGAGTGACTTGGAGAATGGGAAGCAGCCAGATTTAATCCAAGAAAAGGGAGGGACAGCTCTAATTCTCTGGATCAAGAATCCTTTGCTGGCATCAAGGCACCTTAAAAATTCAAGAATAAACTAGAAAAAAAAAATTAAAAAATCATCCTTTAATTTAGCATCCTGAACCCAGTCTGAAAAAATTCTTCTCAAATAAAAGGTAATACAACCATAGTAAAACTGGAAAAGAACTTATGGAATTATGAAAATAATACACACAGTAATTATGACAAGTTTCATTAATTATTAAATGTATGACTAGTAATTAAAAGGCAATACTTACCACTTCAAATGAATCGTTCATAGCTTGAAGATACTGATATGCGCCTTCCTCAGGGGTTAGATCATGAGGATGCATAGCTTCATCAGGTATCTTCAGGTCTTCAATAAAGGCAGGAGACTTTACCCAAAAAAGGATTCCCATTATTCCCTGAAAAATTGATGTCCTACAATAAATAAAACAGAACCTAGGAATTTTGATAATGATACATTTTCTCTGGTGTAAATTGTGGGACCCATAGCCTCAGAGAAGTGGATAAAAAGGCTTCAAGGAAGAATATTTGGATTTCTTCCTGAAGCCGTTTGAATATTCCACTTCCCCTACCACCCCAATATTAACTTTTAACCCATTAGGCAGAGTGAAGGGTTTTTAATTTGAAGAACTGACACTCCCCTCATTTTGCTTGAATCAAACCTGATTACCACCTACCTGTCCTTTTCCTCAGAATGCATAACCCTTATGGGTTCTGAACTTTTCCCTTAGTTTAATAATAAATGCAAAACACAATACAGCAAATCATAACACACCATATGCAAAGTAATAGTAATCTACAGCTTAATGTTGAACCACTTAACTCTTAACCCATCTTTTATATACTCAGGGAAAGTACTAAACTTGTAGGATCATATGGGGAATGGGAGGGAATATAGTTCAATTCTAGGAAGGGGATGGGTCCACTTCAATGGATCAAAAGGGTTGGGAAGACGTATGTCAACTCTATTTATCTAAGAGTTTGTCGCCTGGTGTGGACTATCCTAGGGAAGGACCCCAATGGAAATAACCCATAATATCCTGCTTTCAATAACCTATAGGATATTTTTCTTCATCCACACATCAAATACAGAATAAGTAAGTTTATTTAAGCACATGTACACCTTTTTTTATTAACACATCGGCCATGTACCAGCAAGACAGGGTAACCCAAAATAGAAGAAACTTTCATCACTCACTCCATCACTGTCTTGCCAGAGGTGTGCTCATACTACAGGTACACATTGGTACAATTATCAGTGGAAATTACCTAGGATAACCAAAAAAAGGTCAAAGTAACTTATTTCCATTGGGGTCTTCGAGAATATCACGATTATGTTTATTCAGGTACAAATACACATAAATACAGTTACATGAATTAACATACATAGCAGCATGTATGTAAATTACCTACCAGGATAACCCCCCAAAATTCAAACTAAGCGACTTATTTCCATTGAGGTCCTGGAGTTTACCTGGAGTTTACCTGGAGAGAGTTCCGGGGGTCAACGCCCCCGCGGCCCGGTCTGAGACCAGGCCTCCTGGTGGATCAGAGCCTGATCAACCAGGCTGTTGCTGCTGGCTGCACGCAAACCAACATACGAGCCACAGCCCGGCTGATCCGGAACTGACTTTAGGTGCTTGTCCAGTGCCAGCTTGAAGACTGCCAGGGGTCTGTTGGTAATCCCCCTTATGTGTGCTGGGAGGCAGTTGAACAGTCTCGGGCCCCTGACACTTATTGTATGGTCTCTTAACGTGCTAGTGACACCCCTGCTTTTCATTGGGGGGATGGTGCATCGTCTGCCAAGTCTTTTGCTTTCGTAGTGGGTGATTTTCGTGTGCAAGTTCGGTACTAGTCCCTCTAGGATTTTCCAGGTGTATATAATCATGTATCTCTCCCTCCTGCGTTCCAGGGAATACAGGTTTAGGAACCTCAAGCGCTCCCAATAATTGAGGTGTTTTATCTCCGTTATGCGCGCCGTGAAAGTTCTCTGTACATTTTCTAGGTCGGCAATTTCACCTGCCTTGAAAGGTGCTGTTAGTGTGCAGCAATATTCCAGCCTAGATAGAACAAGTGACCTGAAGAGTGTCATCATGGGCTTGGCCTCCCTAGTTTTGAAAGTTCTCATTATCCATCCTGTCATTTTTCTAGCAGATGCGATTGATACAATGTTATGGTCCTTGAAGGTGAGATCCTCCGACATGATCACTCCCAGGTCTTTGACGTTGGTGTTTCGCTCTATTTTGTGGCCAGAATTTGTTTTGTACTCTGATGAAGATTTAATTTCCTCATGTTTACCATATCTGAGTAATTGAAATTTCTCATCGTTGAACTTCATATTGTTTAAAAGTTAAAACAGCTAAGTAACTCAACTGTGTGAAAAGCAGTTACAATACAAGAAGATATGGAGCTGGGTTGGTAGCGCACTCAGCTTACACACAGGTCTGGGGTTCGATCCCCGGTTCGGGTGGAAACATTAGGATGTGGTTTCCTTAAGATACCTGCTGTCCATATTCACCTAACAGTAAAATAGGTACCTGGGTGTTAGTGGACTGGTGTGGGTCGCATCCTGGGGACGAAATTGACCTAATTTGTCCAAAATGTTCTGCATAACAAGGGGCTTCCTATGTAGTATGTCACTGATGTCAGTTAGACTTGTATACCATGTACATGTACTTGTACAATAATAATATAATCAAAACTAAGCGTTAAACCCACCAGTCATACAGCGCTTGTCCTTAACAGAAATAAAGATTACTATTATTAAGGTAGTAAACTCCAGCACTACCACTACTCACCAGCTGAATTATTGCCCATACACTAAGCAAGGTGCAACATAGTGAGCACTTGGGACCACAAATTTTCAAGTTCATCTTGACCAAAAACCGTCGCGTCCTCCAGGATATATAAGAAGCTTCTCTCTGGTGTCACTCGTGATGCTTCTAAGATTGTTTTGATCTGACCCTTCCAGTCAGGACAAAACTCTCTCATATTAACTTACGTAAGTCTAGCTTGTGGGAGATAACTTTATTTTAAATGGTATTGCTGGTGGTAATAATATTTATTTTCTCTGTTCCGCATAAAATTTGGAGGTTGGCAGCTCGGATGGGGAATTTGGGCGGGTGTATAGTAGGGTTTTTGTATGTGTGTGCGTGTCATACTGGTGAGGATCACCTGACTTACTTACAGCTGGGGAGGGGAGGGGGCGGAGGATGGGATAGGAAGGTGGAGGAGGATAGGATGGGGAGGTGGAGGAGGATGGGATGGGGAGGTGAAGGATTGGAAATATAAACACAAATGCAGTATAATGTGATCCTTTATTGACAACGTTTCACCCACACAGTGGGCTTTTTCAAGTCACACACAGATCTGTGTGTGATTTGAAAAAGCCCACTGTGTGGGTGAAACGTTGTCAATAAAGGATCACATTATACTGCATTTGTGTTTATATTTCCATTGTGTCGGTATTTTATACCATTTATTTCCGAGGTGAAGGATTGTAGATGAATGGTTCAAAGAACCGACATGTTGTTAAATTAGACACATGTGCAACTCTTAGGTATCTTTATTGAGGAAACGTTTCGCCACACAGTGGCTTCATCAGTCCATACAAAGGATAAACTTGAAGAACACGAGGAGAATGAGGTAATCAGTCCCTCAGCCTTGAGTCGATGTGGTCAGTCCATCAATCTTGAATAAAATACGGCATAGGAGCGGAGAAGCAGCTGGCACTGGACAAGCACCTAAAGTCAGTTCCGGATCAGCCGGGCTGTGGCTCGTATGTTGGTTTGCGTGCAGCCAGCAGCAACAGCCTGGTTGATCAGGCTCTGATCCACCAGGAGGCCTGGTCTCAGACCGGGCCGCGGGGGCGTTGACCCCCGGAACTCTCTCCAGGTAAACTCCAGGTATGGCAGGAGAGGTGTAGCAGTCATAGGTGGTGTCACATTTGTCCAATGTGGAAGTAGGTTCCTGCCTCCACTACATCACTTGGTAAGCTATTCCACTTCCTGACCACTCTATGACTGAAGAAATATTTTCTAATATTCCTTTGACTCATCTGGGTCTTTAATTTCCAATTGTGATCCCTTTTTTTTTTTTTTTTTTTTTTTTTTTTTTTTCGCCGGTATTCTCCCGGCCCGGGTCTTTTCCAAGTAGTGGTGACCCGGCCTTGACTCCCTATCTGGGGAGTGTCTCGAGACGCAAGTCTCCCATGGGAGGAGATACAAGTACCCCCTCATCTTTGGGACCAACTGTCCCCAGGCCTAGCCACATTCCCCGCCCTCACGGGGCTCGTAGGGAGAAGCTAGGCCTCTGGTCTGCCATCTGCCCCGCCCCAAAGGGGCTCGTGGGGATGGCAGTCTTGTGAGCTTGTGACCCCTTGTTTCTGTGTCCCATCTCTGGAACATCCTGTCTTTGTCCACCTTGTCTATTCCACACAGTTATCATGTCTCCCCTAACCCTCCTGTCCTCCAGTGTCGTCAGGCCGATTTCCCTTAACATTTCTTCGTAGGACATTCCCCTTAGCTCTGGAACTAACCTTGTCGCAAACCTTTGCACTTTCTCTAATTTCTTGACGTGCTTGATCAAATGTGGGTTCCAAACAGGTGCTGCATACTCCAGTATGGGCCTGACATTGCGTATACGCACGTGTGCATCATGTACGTTTATATGAATGTACGTGTGTATTATGTACATTAATACGCATCATGTACATGTAAACACACGTACATATTTATCATGTACGCAAATATACACATATGTATCCTGTACGCGAGTATCGTGTACGTGTGTATAAACGTGTGTAGCACATACGTGTATAGGCACATGCATGTGTATGCGCATACGTGCGTGCACATACGTGGTCTGGACATGGTGACGCCAGAGGAGTCGATCAATTACCAACTCATCCTAGTGACAACCTTGTGTGGTGAAATGGAACACATGTGCAGTGTTTGGCCTTTTTATTGAGGAAATGTTTCACCAGGAATAGCTTCTACAACTGGAGTGAGTTTCGGGGGGTCACCGCCCCTGCGGCTCGGTCCGTGACCAGGTAAGTTTATTTAGGCACAGGTACAAGTACAATTATCATCCATAGTGTAAATTACCCAAAAGGATAACACCCCCCACCCAAAAAAAAAGTCAGAGAAAGTGACTTATTTCCATTGGGGTCGAAGATTTGATAAGACACTTGTGCAGGGGCGTCATGAGTACGGTAAGAGACAACACAGTAAGTGTTATGGGTCCAAGACTGTTCAACTGCCTCCCAGCATATAGAAGGGGATTGATTACCAATAGACCCCTGACTGAGGGAGCTGGATAGGTACCTGACTTGACCAGCCGGGCTGTGGTTTGTACGTTGGTTTGTGTACGGCCAGCAGTAACAGCCTGGTCGATCAGACCCTGATCCACCGAGAGGCCTGGTCATGAACCTAGCCGCGGGGGCGTTGACCCCGGAAACATCCTCCAGGTATACTTGCTTGGAGGTCAATTTGTGTCTTGCCGCTGACCAGGGATGCAAGCTAAGATATTCGGCTTCTAACCACACACAGCCTCACACAAATACCTTCTTACACACTCATTTTTAGGGGCTTAGAGTTTCTGAGCATTGGCCTGCGTCATTACGTGGACTGTCATGTGACCTGCCTGTGTTATCCGTCAAGGAGGCATGACTGAAGTAGTCATCCTCGAAGAATGGGGTTAAAAAAGCAGTCTTCCATGAAGGACTGCCGGCAAAAAGGGGGCAGTTATCTTTGAAGGAAGCATTAGTTTTAGGGTAATGTTTATAATGCATACATCTGGCGTAGTCACCACATACCCTGCGTATCACAATACCCATCCTGTGGGCGGTAGTCACCACATACCCATCCTGTGGGCGGTAGTCACCACACCCATCCTGTGGGCGGTAGTCACCACATACCCATCCTGTGGGCGGTAGTCACCATACCATCCTGTGGGCGTAGTCACCACCATCCTGTGGGCGGTAGTCACCACATACCCATCCTGTGGGCGGTAGTCACCCCATACCCATCCTGTGGGCGGTAGTCACCACATACCCATCCTGTGGGCGGTGTGAAAAGATTACAGAGGTACATAATAGGTCCAGGGACTGGACCCCAAAGTTATGATAGCTGAACTAGTTACAAAGGTAATGAACTCCAGGTAGATCTGGTCACAATCATGACAAGTTACAGAGATAATGAATCAGCTTCACTCCTATACATGGTTACAGTCATGAACAAATTACAAAGTAATGAACCACTGATACGTCCACACCTGGTCACAACCCACTTAATAAATTCAATGTATATGTGATCCTTTATGAAACGTTTCCATCCTAAAGGGGCCATCAAAAGACAGGATCATTTGAAGACTTCAAAAAGCTGTGTTAAATCGTTTCAAATAGGATCACATAACGAGGAATATCCATTGTTACGGTAAGATCCAAATTAATTTCCATACCCACAAATATTGTATATACATTAAAACCATCATTGAAATGAGCTCAAGATACAGAATCTCATAACAAGAAGACAAAACAGCATTATCAATAAATCATAGGATAACAAACGGGATCCACAATAACACACCCAAGAACATATATACATCCTAGATTGTAAGTATGTATGCAGAGTTGATTAACTGGAAAGTATACGTACAAAACAAAGGATCCATAACAATAAACATATATGTTGTGTTGAGTGTCTGGATAGTCCAAATCATGTAACACATGTTGTTAATGGGTACATACAGTAGCATCAGTGTGCTCTGTCTGTCGTCTTGAATTACTTAAGTTTATTCAGGTATAGGTACTTAGAAATACAGTTATATAAATGATCTTAGCAGCATATGTGTAGATTATCGAGGATAACCCCAAAAAGTTTGACAAGTGACTTTTTCAACTGAGTCCTATATATATGAACTTTGTAAAGCAAAAGGATACAAGTGCAACTATATAAACTTTACTGTCAGGTCACACAGACCTGCTAAAGCTTTTATTAAGGCGAAAATTGGTGTAATATAAAACGGGGCTTTGTTGTACGACTTTCTTGAGGGGTATCTTAGGTAATTTACACTATAATTATTGTATATACTTATGTGTACCTGTGTTTAAATAAACTTACTTTATATTTCTAGAAAGTTATTACACCAATTTCTTAAATGATTTTTTATCGGATGTAGAATGTACTTCCTTTCCAGCCAGGGATATGATCCCCGGACCTCAGCTATAAGAGCCAGGACTCTGACCACTAGGCTATATAATAATAATATCTTTGTTTCCTCGAAAAGGTTGGAGGGAGGGGGTAAAGGAGGTTTTGTGGGCGAGGGGCTTGGACTTCCAGCAAGCGTGCGTGAGCGTGTTAGATAGGAGTGAATGGAGACAAATGGTATTTGGGAGCTGATGAGCTGTTGGAGTGTGAGCAATGGGTAATATTTAATGAAGGGATTCAGGGAAACCGGTTATTTTATATAACCGGACTTGAGTCCTGGAAATGGGAAGTACAATGCCTGCACTCTAAAGGAGGGGTTTGGGATATTAGCAGTTTGGAGGGATATGTTGTGTATCTATATACGTATATGCTTCTAAACTGTTGTGTTCTGAGCACCTCTGCAAAAACAGTGATAATGTGTGAGTGAGGTGAAAGTGTTGAATGATGATGAAAGTATTTTCTTTTTGGGGATTTTCTTTCTTTTTTGGGTCACCCTGCCTCGGTGGGAGACGGCCAACTTGTTGAAAAAAAAATCTTTATTTCTACAAGTACATGTACAAAGTATACAGACCATAGCTGAGATCAGTGAGATACTATTATATAGAAAACCTCTTTGTTATGTAGATCATTTCGGGAAAATTAGGTCAGTTTTGTCCCAGGGTGCGACCCACACCAGTCCACTAATACCCAGGATGCGACCCACACCAATCCACTAATACCCAGGATGCGACCCACACCAGTCCACTAATACCCAGGATGCGACCCACACCAGTCCACTAACACCCAGGATGCGACCCACACCAGTCCACTAATACCCAGGATGCGACCCACACCAGTCCACTAACACCCAGGTACCTATTTTACTGATGGGTGAACATAGACAACCAGTGTAAGGAAATACGTCCAATATTTCTACCCTCCCTGTTCGTCCTGTCAGTTCCTCTTGGGTAGCTTTATAATAATAATCTTTCTACAATATTCTTTATAGTGGAAACGTTTCGCCAGCTAGTGTCTTCATCAGTCCAAAACAGAGAAGAATGGTGGAAGATGAGAAGGAATTTGAAGTAATCAGTCCCTCAATCTGGAATCGACGTGCTCAGTCCATCAATCATGAAAACGAGTTTTACTTTCATTTTTTTAATTAATGCCCCGAACACAGTATCTCCGGACTGAGGAATTGATTCCTTCAAAATTCTCATCTTCCACCGCTCTGGACTGATGCAGTCACTGGCTGTTTAGTTAGTGTCATCGAGGACTGTCTGTTATATTTCCCTTGTGGTCCTTCACTATTGTCCCCCAGGATGCGACCCACACCAGTCGACTAACACAAAGGTACGTACTTGTTGCTAGGTGAGCAGGGATAGCAGGTGTAAGGTGACTAACACCCAGGCACCTACTTGTTGCTACGTGAACAGGAACAGCAGGTGAAAGGAAACATGCCGGGAATTGAACCACGGATACTTAGCATGTGAGGCGAGTGCGTTGCCTACTGAGCCACGGTCTTAACAACCTCATTGCATACCAAGGTCACGGGACCTTTTAATTAGGTTACTAGGACACTGAAAAGAATTAATGACTCTTAGTTCTGGACACAATATGGCAGGAAGAGAATCTAGGTGTTAATGGGGGGGGGGCTAAGAAACTTTAAAAATTAAACTATAAAAGAATCTGTAACAAATATTATATTACAAAGACCACAATGGAAATAAGTCTGACTTTTTGGGGGGTTTATCCTAAGTAATTTACTCGTTACTAATGTAAATTTGTGTAACTGTATTTATGTGTACCTGTATCTGAATAAACTTATTAAATTGGCTGGTTCATTGGGTTTAAAATCTATGACTTCAAGGATGTCACCTATACACCGCCAGCCAAGGATATTTTAGGCCCTAAAACACAGAATAACGTTTATTTCTCAGTGTACATACAAGTGAGAGAGATATATAGTGAGAGAGATATATAGTGAGATATATAGTGAGAGATATATAGTGAGAGAGATATATAGTGAGAGATATATAGTGAGAGATATATAGTGAGAGATATATAGTGAGAGATATATAGTGAGAGATATATAGTGAGAGTGATATATAGTGAGAGAGATATATAGTGAGAGATATATAGTGAGAGATATATAGTGAGAGAGATATATAGTGAGAGATATATAGTGAGAGATATATAGTGAGTGATATATAGTGAGAGAGATATATAGTGAGAGATATATAGTGAGAGATATATAGTGAGAGATATATAGTGAGAGAGATATATAGTGAGAGATATATAGTGAGAGATATATAGTGAGAGTGATATATAGTGAGAGAGATATATAGTGAGAGATATATAGTGAGAGATATCTAGTGAGAGATATATAGTGAGAGATATATAGTGAGAGATATATAGTGAGAGATATATAGTGAGAGAGATATATAGTGAGAAAGATGTATATAAGTGAGAGTATATAGTATAGCTGAGCATGACGGGTAAACTGCCACGATGTCCACCACTACACTATCGCAAAGCTGAATAACCTAACTTTACATGCCAATAAATTAACCCCTGCACCGGATACCCACTCTTAAACCCATCGAGCGGCTAGAGGAAACCTTCATCTACAAGCAAGGGGGCACCTAGGGGACTCACATATATTATAAAGGGGTAAAAAAAATGGTAAAAGATGAGGTAGTGAGCGTGTGGCATGGAAGGTGAGGTAGGTGCGCAGGCGCCATGGTCGTCACTTCCGTCACACACACAGCTGAGTCTTCACCATGGTGCTGTCTGATGCTTTATACTTTACTCCCTGTAACCCTCTACTGATACTTTAAACTCCATTATACACTTGACCTCCCCTTCAGGTGTTTATATATTAAAGGTAAGGTTAATGGGAGTGGTTTAAGAGGCTGCCTCCTTACCCCTCCCTGTCTCCTCTCACTTGTCTATGTCATTATTTGTATTTGTAAACAATAAAATACATGCTAGGGAGGAATATTAAGTATAGATGTTGGTAATTCAGTGGCTGGTTTGGAATACGTGCTGTAAATACTGATAAAATGTAAAAAACAAATGTCTTGCTTGACACTTGATGTAACTTTCCAGGTATTGACATTTGAGTCGTTGTTGCATTTATTGCAAAGTTAATAGATATTATTGCTGTGGGTCCTTCACCAGGCCAGTAACTTGTTCTCTGCCCAGTTGGGTAACTTGGTATCATACTGGGCAGTTCTTCATGGCGAGGTTATTGATTGAAAAGAACAGAAACTGGGTCAGTAGAACAACTCTCCATAGGTCTACTGGCCTATACTAGGCCAGGTTGTTGCTCATAGTCACTTCCTACTCCTTTATTTGTCTGAATCTTTGGCTCACAACTGAAAGGACTTGGGTTTGAACCCTGGGCAGGATGTATGGGCAAGTCTCATTGTTTCTATTCACCTAGGTACCTAGTTTCTTTAGGCACAGGTACAATTATCATACATAGTGTAAATTACCTAGGATAACCCAAGAGACCTGGAGTTTACCTGGAGAGAGTTCCGGAGGTCAACGCCCCCACGGCCCGGTCTGTGACCAGGCCTCCTGGTGGATCAGAGCCTGATCAACCAGGCTGTTACTGCTGGCTGCACACAAACCAACGTACGAGCCACAGCCCGGCTGGTCAGGAACCGACTTTAGGTGCTTGTCCAGTGCCAGCTTGAAGACTGCCAGGGGTCTGTTGGTAATCCCCCTTATGTATGCTGGGAGGCAGTTGAACAGTGGCTTATTTTCACTGGGGTTGCATCATGGATGGGGAAGCTGCAGGAGATATCTGGTGAAGTCTGAATTCTTAAGCACTAACATCAGTTATCTGAGCAGTTGGTTCAGTGACTTGGTAAAATATAACTCAGTTATCCAACAACATAATTTGGATTTATTATTGGTTAGACTAGAGCTTTCTGTTATTAAATTATATTTGAAATTTTTTGTGTAGGAAAGCACTGGAGACTTGACATTGGTGACTTGGGAATGTTGGTAATTTACACTGATACGGGTACTTGTGTATCTGTACCTTAATAAGCTTATCCTTATTGATTGGCACTTTCTGTGTATTCTGCTGTTAAACCATTAATAATCCAGAGAAAATTGTGTTCAGTAAATGTTGACTTGTCTGCAACTCTTGCTGATGCTAGCCACTTGCTACTAAAATTAGACGTCATGATCTGACGTGGCTCTCGCTTAAAGACGACATCTGATGCATTACACGGTATCAGGCGAAGAAAGACTTTAGTAACTAATGTTAGCAAGGTATCCTAGCAACAGTTTGAGACTGGTTAAAATACTGTATAACCAGATAAAACCATGAGTTATCCAACACCTTAATTTAGGTTGTTAGTACCTTCTGGTAGCTCAATAAATTTGTGTATGGGAGAACTTGCTACCAGTAGTAGAACATCAGAGACTTCCAACATTGGAGACTTTGGAACATCTGAGATTACTGGTGTTCCTTTCTTGCCAGCATATTTGAATAAACTGCTCTGATATTTTAAGCACAAAAAATTTTTATTTCAAGAAGCCATTTGTCCCTGCAAATACTGTACCTTAAACAATGGCATTGTTACAAATCCTTGTCTGATACACTAACCTTTTGTCTCGCTCTTACAAGGTACTATAGCTCTCGGCAATGTACGTATTCCATATTTTTACACCATATCACATGCTTTTAAATTCATTGAGAGATGTGCCTTTATTCAAAGACAAAAACTGCACCTTTCTTATCTGACTATTGCTTTTTGTGCTTAATATACAAAGTCATGCTTCCATCCCTTTCTAGAACATTTCATATATTAATTACACTCAAATTGCTATTATAATTAACATAAATCCTCTGTAATTCTTACTCTTGTTTGTTACAAAGTAATCATACCAGTTTTCAGACAAATAATCTTTTGCCATAATCACCATCCATGATAATACTGCCCACTTGCTGTTTATCGTAATCCTGTCCATTCCTCCTCCTTTTCTCCACCTGAAGCTTTCTTACTGCTTCATTCATTTACTTAATATTCCTGGCTTTTCATTCATTCTAATTTCATTCTTCCTTGTCTTGTGCATGAGGCCTGGTGTCAGACCGGGCCACGGGGGTGTTGACCCCCGAAACCCTCTCCAGATAAACTCCAGGTATATACATTGAGTTTACAAAATTATCTCCATCTCTAATACCTGTACTGTTTACAAATCCAGCATCTCTTAAGGCACAGATTGTACGGCATTTTCTCTTGCCGATATGCTGTGCTCATTGCCAATGACTGAATAAATTTTATATCATGTATAGAATGTAAATACTATAATTTGCATTATTTTGCATGCCTTGTGATTTCTGTAATGTGACATTAACAGTCATGATGGAAACAAGTTGGTAATGATTCCAAAGTGGTCAGTAACTGTTTAATTAACCAAAGGTTCTAATGTTGTAAATCAAAGAAATAGGTAGTTCCACAAGTGATATACTAGTGCTGCTTGATTTTTTCATTTGCCCATATGCAAACTTTCAAGCTCTGACAATTTTTCTTGCATATGTATTGCTTTTTTTTTTTCTATTGTATTAAAAGTACTTTTAAAGTTCTAACTTTCTTACAATTTTTTTTACTTAATTCCCTTATTCATTTCCCTCTTCTTCCCTCCTGTATCTACAAACTAATCCATGCCACATTATTATTCTTACTAGCCTTGTAGTTTATATGTAATTAAGGGATTTCTGTCACTTATTTGGTATTGCTAAGTTAATTTAATTTCTCTTCAGGATGGAACGGCTGCCACCACCAGTAATGAATGGTGGGGCTGCAGGGCAGCCACAGCAGCAGAGGTTTTCCTCTTTGCCTTCACTTAGACCTTTGGGAGGTTTTCAAAGTCCTCAGCCACCACCTTCAATGACTTTGAAGCCTTCCACTAATGTGGTCCCTCCACCAGGTCCTCCCAGGCTAGATGGTTCTTTAATGAATGGTCCACCATCAGCACTACCACCAAGAGTGTCCCTGGGAGGAAACTTCAGACCATTGTTTGTGAATGGTCAGCCTGGTCAACTTTCTGGCCCCCCAGCAAGACCTCCTACAGGTCCAGCCCAGAGGTCAGTGGTTGGCCATCCTGTTCCTCCAAATGTATCACCTGCTGGCCCACCACTAAAACCTCCATTAGGTTCAGGCCCTGTCACCACATCCTCGAGTCCTTTAATAAATGGGCACCAGAGACCATCTCCACCTACCAACTTACCAGGTAAAATAATAATCAAAGTACAACGAAAAATATTTATATCAGAAAACCAGTCTTATTTGCAAGCAATCGGTAATTTTGTTAATATTCAGATTGGGAAATTTTGTTCTAAGGAATGGTGTAAATAATCAAGGATGCATTACAATAGTTATTTTGGAAATGTAATAATTTATCTATAAAAGTGAAGTAAAGCAAAATAAAATTTTGGGAAATATTAGCAAGATTTCATAATAAGGTATGTACCTTTCATAAAAGAAAATATTCTGTGCAGTTTCCTCTGCAATGTTGGTAAATGTTGCTCTTAAGTTGTGTAAAAGTTGGCAAGTTGTTATTCCTCAGCTGCTTCCCACAGCGACTACTTAGCTAATGTATCTAACAAACAAGACGTTGCTCTGTAGGAAAGAATAAGCGCCAAATTCCATTAAAGAAAAAAAAAACTCGGGCATGAGAGAGATTCACTATGATTCTCAAGTAACTATATTTATGGGAACACTGAGACTAGCCTACAGATGCAGAAGACAATATTTACACATTCCCACAGATGAAACTTGAGGAATACATTAATTTACGAATCTGGATTTTGGCCGCTGTGATGGTACGTGTCCTTTTCTGCTGATCAATGCAACCTATGCACGAACCCAAGTTAGACAGCGAGGCAAAACACACTCAAGGATATGGGAAACACTACAGTACTTCACTTCCTTCCGTACATATTAGCGACATTAGGAAAATATCCATTCAGTAAATCCTTGATATAATGTACTTTTTAAAATAATGGGTAGAATTTGCTTTTAACTGCTTTATTTTCAGTGTTTATTGCAGCATAACTGTAAATTGAGGATGCAGTACTATGAGGTGTCCAGTAGAATATTAAAGTGCTTTTTGGCTATTTCTTAATACTATTGTGATGTAACACACTTGGGCTCCCCCTCCATATGTCTGTTATATCAAAGGTTTACTGTATTTCTTTACTGTATACTGTATTTCTTTACTGTATACTGTACTACTGTAATTGCATTAATGTTAACTATTTTTTTATGACGGATTGAATACTTTGGTGACATGAAAATCATCATGCATTTCTGAAAATATATCATGTGGCTGGTTTTCAATTTAGGTCTGTGCTGCTTCAAACATTGTTCATAGCATGAGAATCTTTTTTTTCGAATAAGAGAATGCACTTATTACATGGGCGTTAACTCTTTAGTTTTTGTCTTGAGATTACAATTTATATAGGTATTAATTATATATACCCATGTTACATTGATGTAACTTTCAACAAGAAGGTAATTTTAGTTTCTTAAAAGCTTGTGCATTTACCATTATGAATTGGGTAAGTGTTGGGATTAGTCTTTTTTTTTTTTTACTTGCACTCGTCCATTAGAACTGTTATGTCTCCCTCATGATTATCATTCTTGTCTGATTTGGTCTTAGTTCAGCTTGTTAGATGTATGATGGAATTTGTTTATATATTTTTGCCTTCAAAATTTTCTGTGTATTCTTGAAGTCGTACTTTCGTTGTTTTAATTCTATATTAGACATGGCTAATTAGTACGGCATTCTTGTGTAACATTGTTTATAAAATCTCTAACTTGTATGTATACATTCCTGTTAGACGAGTAGGTTTTGTGCTAGATTTTCTATTCTGATCATAACTCCAGAAAGACATTATTAGGAAGATATAATTGCAGTGTACTAATTAAAAACTGGAATACGTATATGTATATAAATGAATGACATCTAAATTGTCTTATCTGCGTGCCTCTGGCAAGACAGTGATAGTGTGAATGATGGTGAAAGTTTCTTTTTTGGGTCACCCGGCCTCGGTGAGAGACTATATTAAAAAAAAAAAGTTTTTTTCTTCTCTAAGTCTAATTGTACTATTGGTGGATTCTCTTGGACAAAAAATTTGGGTGTTATACTGCACCACTTCATATAAAAATTAACACTTTGGTACAGTTATGCTTGCTTCTTCTTTACACTAGTATTCCTCTAGGGGTGTCATGGTAACTTCCAGGGACGAGATGAAAATATCCAAACTGTATTTAAATAAGGCACAAGACACACCTAGAAAGCAACTGTAGGTGGCATGAGTGGTAGTGCTTCTCCACACGCATTGCTCTTAGGCCCAACTTGGCTCGGGAAAACTCGTGGCATGGACTACCAAGATTTTGCTTATGAAGCATATTAACAAGGCTTTTCCAAATGCTGTGTAAACAAGAGGGTGCATTTTTTCAATTGTATTTGGCCAGAATTACTGTATTAATTGTATTTGAATTTTGGAGTTCTATACTGCAATACTGTTTCCAAATTTAAAAAATTTGGAACTTGTTTGGAAAATATTACTGAGGAAATTAGTTTTGTTTGCTTTTTTTTGTATGGTAGCCAAAGAAGTAACATTGTGCTCACTGGTGGTAGCAGTAGTAGTGCATGTATTGTATGTTAAAATTTGTTTGGGCATGGTTTACACTTAAGATAGGTTTCTTCTAATAAATCCCTTATAGCAGTAGTTATGCATTGAATTGCTTGCTTTGATTATTGTACAGTGGACCCCCGGTTTATGATATTTTTTCATTCCAGAAGTATGTTCAGGTGCCAGTACTGACCGAATTTGTTCCCCTAAGGAATATTGTGAATTAGATTAGTCCATTTCAGACCCCCAAACATACACGTACAAACGCATTTACATAAATACACTTACATAATTGGTCGCATTGGGAGGTGATCGTAAAGCGGGGGTCCACTGTATTGTATTTTTAAATGGATCTTGTTTTTTGTAATGTAGCTTACTAAATTTGTCCCTTTCCTCTGTGTTTGCTTGTAGTACACTAAACATGGTTGTCCTGTTAATTTATTAAATTGGTTGGACATGTCTTCTCGTCTACAGAGTCAATATCTAACCGATCGTCTAATCGGTCTTCTCGCCAGCCTTCCCCGATCCCTACTTCTCAGCTTGACCGCATGGAGATGCAGGCCACACCGGTCTCAGGCCTGAGTAAGTGGTTGCTTGCTCTAATGTATACTGATCTTGTTACTGCACAGCTGTTTTTTTGATAATTGTGGTTTTAATCACCTTGTTTGCTATGTTTATAAGTGTGTGCTTTATATATGTGCTCATTCTTGTATTTTCTCTTGGACAGTAGCATTGTGTGATCCGTGCATGTGGCTTATATTTATGTATGTATTTATGTATATATAGTTGACCCTTGAACAGTGAAGGGGTTAGGGGTGCTGATTAGTTGGGCAGTCAAAAATCTGTGTATAACCCGACTCCTCAAAAACTTGACTATTAATGGCGTACTGTTGACTGGAAAGCTTACTGATAATATAAACACTCGATTAGCATGTATTTTATATGTTGTATACTGTATTCTTACAATAAAGTAAGCTAGAGAAAAGAAAATGTTTTTAAGAAACTCAAAAGGAAGAGAAAATAAATTTCCTGTACTTTTATCGATGCCGTAAATTTACGTTCGTCTGTTACGAGATGAATCATCTGTCAGTAGCTATACATCGATATTGTCTTATGATACTAAACGCTGTAAATTTTATATGTATTACTAACATTAGACATCAGAAATGAAAAGATTTGTGAAAAAGAAATTACAGTACATGTATTTGACTTAATATTGCATCTTTATGTATTTTTACACTTCTCTAGACTGCGAATAGAACATGTACAATCTATAATTGTTTGTAAATAACAAAAAAGGCACAATACCATGACTGGAATGATACACAAATAACCCACACATAGAAGAGAGGAGCTTACGACAACATTTTGGTTCAACTTGGTCCAAGTCGGACCCAAACATTGTCGTAAGCTCCTCTCTTCTATGTGTGGGTTATTTGTATGTTGTGTCTGTATATTTTAATAATTTTTTTACTTTTTTATAGTAATTTGATAAAGTAGGCTAGTATCTACATATTTTTGTGCCTTCATGACATGCCTAACTTTTCTTAATTTTTTTCGGTCGCAGATCTCCAGAAAATTTTCCAGTATATTTATTGAAAAAATCCCATGCAAGTAGACCCGTGCAGTTCAGACTAGTGTTGTTTAAGGTCAACTGTGTATATATATCTGTATGTATATTTTTTTTCCCCAATACAGGAAAGTAATGCTCCTCAGGAAAAATAAAATTTACAGGTATCACACTGTTCTCTTCCTATTCAGACTTGAGTGGTCATAACCTTCTTAAATCTGAACTAATTTGTGACATTTAAATACAGTACATGTAATCAAGAAGGTCTTTGCGTCTAATACTACATTTCTGAAGGGACATGTAAACTGTCACAGAATTGTCTGCATTTGTGAATTTCATTTACCTAATAACAGCATTGCACACTACTGCTATATTGAGGAAGTAAACTACAACATGCCATTAAGCCCTAATAAAGATGTTTGTGAAAGGATAATCCTTCAGGGAAATAAGTCATGATACCGGGGAAGGGCTTTTGTTTCCAGGAATATGAGCTACCTTTCCCCCCTTCCTTTACGAACTCTGACAGTCATTGAAGCTAAATTTTCTTTAGATTTTTTCTAAAGTTTAATTTTGATGTCCCCTCGAAGGTTACCTGCTGCCAACGAAGGACTCTTGATCCAAAGACACGATCCATTGAACACGAGTTTTCCATCCTTGATTTAAACCTTACTGCATCTCACTCTCGAAGGTTCTTTGACCCTCCTATGGGTTTAGCACTCCCCCAGAACATAATTTTGTGGCTTGATAGATATGCACCTCAGAATCATAGGATTTATTTTGCACCAAAATTTTCTTAAAAATTTACCTTTAAATATCTAATGTCAGCCAAAATTACTACTGTATATTGTATGATGGTAGTGTCCAGAGGGATCAAGATTAATCTTGCTAGTATGCTGTTAAAATTGCCAAGAGTCGTGCAAAAAAAAGACCACTTGATTTACTTCTTGGAGTTCTTGTTTTAAGGTTTTTGGTCATTAGTTTCACTATATATTTCTCTTAATCTTCTCTGCCAGTTTTTCATTTTTTTTTTTTTTTTTGTTAAATATGTCCTTATTGCATTTTTTGTGTTAAATATGTCCTTATTGCATATGTCTTTTTTTTATTCCTTTCATGCAATGGTATTGGTAAAAGAATAAAATTAAAGAACTGCAGAATAGGCAGATATGAAAATGTACATAAAAATCTCCCATATCTTCATGCATTAATTTTTTTTTTTTTATCACTCTAGGACTATTATATGTAAATACAGTACAGTATATGGATTTTGGATAACCCTGCTTCTAAGACTGAGTTGGACTGCATTTAAGTGCCACTATCTTGCTGCCAGGCATATGTTACCAGTTTTATTTAATTATTGATGGTCAACTGTGTGTGTATACTGTAGATAAATTAGTGTTAGGGTAACCTAACTTAGAATAAATAACATTTAATTATAATTTCAGCTTATTGCATAATTTGATGCATTGAAACTGTGCAGTGTCTTTGGAGGGCACTAGGATTGTTTTGCAGTTTTCTGCAGTACGACTTTGATGCCTTTGACACTTTCTGCTCTCATTCCACAGTATTGATTTTTGTCTCTGCTATGCACTTTTTTTGACATAATTTTTCCACTATATAGATTTATTGGAGGCAATTACCCGAAGGACGTTTCTGGTGGTCAGCTTCCCCGAGGCCCAGAACGAAACGAAAAAACTGAAGAAGTCATGATGGATAGATACAAATGCAGTGTAATGTGATCCTTTATTGACAGTGTTTTGCCCTCACTGTGTGGCTGGATAAAGTTCACTGTGTGGGTGAAACGTTGTCAGTAGAGGATCGTATTTCACTGTATTTGTCTTTATCCATGAAAACCTAATTTAGAAATACAGTGGAACCTCGGTACTCGCTTAATTCGTTCCAGAAGGCTGTTCGAGTACCGAACGAAATTTTCCAACCAATTTTCTTTTGTTGGCTGTTATCACTAATCTTCTTAGGCCCCATGGTCACTTATTTATAGTACAAATAATATAAAAAAAAAAATTGTGAAGCACAAAATAGTTTACAGTGAAGTTCTGACAGGTCATGTTTGTTTGGTAGAAGGCCGAGCAAACTGTCTACTACCGAGCGATAATTTTTTTTTTTTTTTGATTAAAAAGATAATTTAATTTCTCTGCAAAGGTTATAATGTGTAATTGCAGTTTTGATTTGTTAATTACTAAGAGAGCCATTATCATGTCGGGGCATTTTGGGCAGACTAATCCTGGTACAGTGGTACCCCAAGTTTCGAACTTATTTCATTCCAGAATGCTGTTTGAGTGCCAATACCGAACAAATTTGTTCCCATAAGGAATAATGTACATTAGATCAGTCAGTTTCATACCCCTAAAAATACACTTACAAACGCACTTGCACAAATACACTTGCATAATTGTTTGAGTTGCGAGCAGTTCGAAACTTGGGGTACCACTGTACGTACATAATTACTCAAGTCTTGAGAAGAAAGGTTATCTTTTTAATAAATCTTTATTTTAATACTAATGTGAGGTAGTCAGGTTCAAGGTTTATAAGAATAATAATCTTGAAGTTGCATATAATAAAAACAATATTACAATTAATGGTTCCAACAGTACTATTTTATGGATTGGCAGATCCATACTGAATTGTTTGAGTAGGGAGCTGTTCAAGTACCCAGGTTCCACTGAATGTTATCTTAAATTTCTCAGAACTGAATACCAGAAAATATTTTGCCTACAACAGGAAAAATCTTAATGCATCTATTTTGTGATTAGATTTAAATATCCACAAATTGGTTGTTGGCCAGATAGCCTTGCCCTTGCCCAGGACAAGCAAAGCAAGGGCTTCCTGTTGCAGTATTAAAAAAAAAAATCCCCCATGCATCAAGGGTGAGGAGGAAAGGGACAAATTGTAGCATTTGTCTGTGATACACCTGCCAAATTTGGAATTCTAAACTTGGCTGTTGACAAAAAAAAAAAAAAAAAAAAAATGCACATTGGAGAATGGAACTTGACTACTTTCCAGTCCGACTTGGACCGAAACATCATAAGTTTCTCCTATGTGCAGGTTTTTTGTGTATTCTTTTTTAAACTTGATTCCATCAGCTGAACTTAATAGCCAACTTTCTGGAAGCTGTCATCTGTAGGTGGCTATTGCATGTACTGTTTGTGTCTACAAGTTTTCTTCCTACTATTGAATTGTAAATACTATTCTCGTTGTTGCAGCACCAAGTGGATCCTTAACCAATTTAAATGAGGGCTTTTGTCCGCCTACATCCCGATCCCAGTCTAGCTCATCTTTAGTTGATGAATCTGCAAAGATTTCGCCTAGGATGTCTCCAAGGATGTCCCCAATCACAACGACAACAGTGTCTGGACAGTCTTTACCAGTTAATGGCACCCCAGTTAGTATGTCTCTGTCTAGTGAACCATCTGTCAGTGGAACACCAGTTAGTAATATGCCATTAAACAGAACTGTTGGTTCACCATTCCAAAGCAGTGGTCAAGTAGCTAATCAAACACAGGTGCATCTTAGTGACTCAGTATCGTCTCATAGTAACTCATCACCCAGTACTGTTCAGTCATCTGTTAGTGGCCACATTTCCATGGCATCTAGTAATGTGCCATCCTTGTCAAGAAGACCTATTAGTGGTTCTTCAGTTAGTGGTAATCATTTAAGTTCAGCCTCTGGCACAGTTCCTGGAAAAATCACACACACTGCAAAACCTACAAGTGGGCCACAGTCTGGTGTCCCTTCAGTAAGTGGAACACAACACTTTATTCAGAAAGGTTCTGTGGGTCCTTCTTTAGCTGCCCAAACCCACCTAGCTACTTCTACAGTTCCTTCATCATCTGTGGCTGCTTCAGTTCCAAGTTTTGCTGCCTCAAATTCACCTCTGGTTGCTCAACATTCTGCTGTGGCTTCTGTTGCTCTCTCACCATCAGTGGGAGCTAGACCAGCAGTTTCTGCCTCAATGTCCAACAATATTAGACGTTCAGTGGGGCCACTACCACCATCAGTTGGTCCTCCACTAGCATCCATGGGTCCACAAAGATCATTTGGTCCTCCATCAACAATGGACTATAGATTAACATCATTGGGCCCTCCCCAGACATCAATGGGCTCTCCACAGATGTTGATGGGACCTCCACAGACGTCGATGGGCCCTCCTATGCTGACGTCAATGGGCGCTCCTCGGCCATCACTGGGCCCCCCACCAACATCGATGGGACCCCCGCCAACGTCGATGGGACCCCCGCCAACATCGATGGGACCCCTGCCAACATCGATGGGACCCCCGCCAGCATCGATGGGACCCCCGCCAACATCGATGGGACCCCCGCCAGCATCCATGGGACCCCCGCCAGCATCGATGGGACCCCCGCCAGCATCCATGGGACCCCCGCCAACATCGATGGGACCACCGCCAACATCGATGGGACCCCCACCAACATTGATGGGCCCTCCAACATTGATGGGCCCTCCAACATCAATGGGTTATAGACCCACTGGTGTACCACCACCTATGAGTACTCAGGGGACAGCCCAACCTGGATCATTTCCACAATATCCTGGACAACAGCAGCAATTTCAGCCACAGTTTAGACCAAGTGGACCACCTAATGTCACTCAACTTTCGCAGCAGTTGGGTGGGTTGTCTGTGACACGTGATGGATGGAATAAAATTTGGGGGACTCATCCACTGGACTTGCTACAGCAGCGTCAAGTGTTACCCCCTGAAGGTGTTGTGCCTCCTAAACCAGTGCTGGCTCAAGATTATCTTCCCAACTGCTCGCCTGATATATTCCGCTGTACTCTGACAAAGATTCCTGAGACAAAGTCAGTTTTACAGAAGGCCAGACTGCCATTTGGCATGTTAATACATCCGTTCAAAGACCTTGAGGCAAGTAATTTTTATTTTTTATGCAGCTGTAATATGTCAGGTAATGCAAGTCAGACTAAAATGTCTTTCTATGCATTACATATCTTTATACCCACTTGTTGCCCTAGTTATAGATATTCTCTAAAAGCTGTTTTTTTTTCCTCCAACAAACCAGCTACATCCTTCCAAAGCAGGGAGACCTGAAAAAGAAAAATTAATGTTTCTCTTCTTAAAATTAGTAATGTATACAGGAGAAGGGGCTACCAGCCCCTTGCTCCTGGCATTTTTTTAATTAGTTGTATTATATGAAATTCATTTAAATTGCACATTTGGTACAGTACTTAGTAACTGCTAATTTTAATTTTTCCTGACCAGTTGCTGGCTAAACATTTCAAGGCATGTATACCCTGGTATTTGATATAAAGCTGAAATGTTCAAAGAATAAGATTGACATTTTACATGTTAACTCTGCTGCTCGTGCAACAGTGAGGTCTCCAAGTATCAGTGTCACCCTACAAAATAGTTTTCCATATAAAGTTATCTCCATAAATATATTTCCAGTGTGTTAAACATATTCGTACAAATGTTTATTGGAGTTTTTGATTATGCAAGTTAACTGTGCAAGGGGGATGACAGAAAAATGTACGCGGCATAAAAATCTGCAAAGCTGCTGTATTGCTCGGATCAGAATAAAAATGCTTACCGAAGACTTCTTCATAAATCTATGAAATAGTAAAAAGTGTTGGAAACTCTTAAACCAGGCACCTGTTTTTCCTTGATTGTGTGAAGGGATTATTAAGCAAAACAAAAAGTTTCTGTATGTTTTATTGAAGCAACAACTTGTGCATAGCTAATTTTTTTTCATAAATTGTTTTGAATACAGTAGTTGTGCAGTGTGTGAATGCTATCTGAATATAAAGCTTCTGTGTGGTTATTTTGCACAAATTCATTGTGGTAGATTTGTGTAGTACACAAACCAAAAGGGGCAATTATTCATCAAAAGTTTAGACTACTGTATTTAATTACAAGTTTATAATTTTTAAGGGGAATTGAAATGTTTTTGAGAGTATATGATGTTTCATGTAAGAGTCATCCAGATGGAACAAGGTATCGAGATGTACAGTAACCTGGCTGTTGTGGCATCTTGGAAAGGTTAGATTATATGGTAGATATACATTTTGGGTCTAGTTGTGGCTAAAGACGTGTCACAACCCAAAATTGAAAAAGTTTAAATTATTTTTTGAAAAGTTTAAATTATTTTTAAATTGTTGTATCCCAAGTTTGCTTAATGGTTTTTTAAGTATGATTTTTTTTTTATAGATAAAAAAAAGTCATGCAACATTATTTTCTTGACAGCACCTTCCAGTTGTAAGCTGCAACACTATAGTGCGATGCAGATCATGCAGAACATATATCAATCCTTTTGTGGTCTTCAAAGGAGAGAGACGTTGGGAATGTAACCTGTGCTTCAGGGTTAATGAACTTCCCGAAGAATTTCAGTATGATCCTGTAAGTGTTTTTTGTATAATATTAAACTACAGGGTGCATTTTTTTCTTAGCAAGATTATGAATATTCTTTTTCAGGTAGTAGCCATGTTTTCTGACCCCAGCACTTGTACTCAAGTCTTTAGCGTAATTTTTTTTTTTTGTACCTCTATGTAGTGTAATAATTTTTTCCTTGGCTTTGTTCTCTAGTAAAATTTACATACAGGTATCCCTGTAATTTTAATTATAATTAAAGTTACAGGTATACCTGTAATTTTAATTATAATTAAAGTGTGTGTAATTTTACTACAAAAATTCTGGAGAACTAAATATTTTTAGTTCAGAAATAAAAAATAAAAAGGCACAAATAACCTGCATATGGGAGACACTTATAACTAACATTATGGTTCAGCTTAGACCATTAACTAGTCACTGTGTAACTAATTAATGGTCCAAGTCGAACCAAAACTTTCATCAAATTTGTCTACGTGCAAGTTATTTGTGCATATTTTACTGTAGTTCAATATCCTTTTTCATTGTCTTCCTGCTTGACTTTTTATCTCTACTTTTCCCACTGTAACCCCAGTAATCTTCTGATAACCTGGGTGATGCTAAAGAAGAATATGGATAAATGTGGTGGCCATTCTGACCTAAGATATTAAGAAAAAAAAAGTCCTAATTACGTAGCTTTCTAGTAAATTTTGAATTAAAGATTTTAATAAAAATCCATGTAATTAATACGGCAGGGCATCCATAATTGCAGAAGTCTCTGCTTCTGAGAGTTGGCTGAATGGATTTTAGTTGAACTGCATTTGTTTAGTGTCAGAAAGTCATAATTGTTATATTAAACTAGGTAATGAATTTTTTACAAAGCAGTGATGCACCTACTGAAAATAACCTTATCCAGAACACCCATTTACCATAGTTTCAGGAGTGATCACTGTATTTAAGTTTTTATAATGCCAAGCCTGTATCACTGAATTGATACATGTCACTATCTGAAAAGAGGAGACATGTCCGTTTAGAATAGTTGTTCATGGCAAAGGAACATAATGCTAATGATTTTTGCTTTTCAGGTTAGTCGAACATATGGGGACCCATCTAGAAGACCAGAGGTTAGGGAAGCAACAATAGAGTTCATTGCTCCACAAGAATACATGTTGCGACCTCCGCAACCTGCAACATATCTTTGGGTTTTGGATGTTTCTCGTCAAGCTGTGGACACGGGTTACTTGAAGGTGCGTGTTTTGCATATTTGTCTCCATTATTACAAATTTTGTATTTGTGCTTAAATTTATTATTCAGCCTAGAGAGCAACTACCCAAGGAAGCCCTAGTGTTGTGCTTGTGAAATGAAAGACAGTTTCACATTTTGCTCAAGGGCCAGATGGTTGGATTTTTTCTTACGAACACTTACGACTAGTAAATCTTACAAACTTCTACTGACATTCCATGAACACTGGATGCATGTGCCTGTGTATTCTGAATGTTATATTACTTATGAGTTAGTGGTGAACTATAGTTCTTGTTTCCAATTTAAATTATGGCTGACTTCAGGTAAATTAGCTGTCAGTTTTTAAGTTTTATGTTGCATTTATTTCAACAGTTATTGCTCAACTCATTCCACTATTTTTTTCTCTTAATTGCAGAAATACTTCCTGATATCTCTGCAATGCAGTTGGGCCTCTTAATTTCCAGCCATGAACTTTTTTTTGTTGCAACCTAGAAGAGCACCAATCCTCCTCCTATCCTGTCTTAATATATCTGCATTGCAAATTGTGTTGTAATTATCCTGTTGCATACTTCTGCACTGTCTCTGGTTTTTTAACATGCTTTTTTTTTTTCAGGTATGGGTTCTATACTCGTGCTGTATGCTCAGAGATGAGCCTAACGTGTTTTATATTGGGCCCGGAGTGCCTTGGTTGAAATTTCTGAACGTTACTCTTAGATTTACCAGATGAGCATTGGCTACAGAGGTCTTGGCGAGACCCTCTGGTGTTATACTGGGCACTATGTTCGCCCCTAGGTTTTTCTGAGTGATGTCTGCTACCTGTTTTCCCTAGTCTATACCTAGTTTCCAGTCTTCTTCCTCCTTCCCTATTCTTCATGAGCTTGCATTTACTGGAGTTGAATTCAGGCAACCATTTATCTGACCACTGTCCTGTTTCCTTTCCTTGCTCTCATCTTGTTTTATTCTACTCGCTAGTTCTACATCAGCAAATGGATATATCTGAATCTGTCCCATCTGGAATGTGTATTTTAGGTTTTGATTCTGCTGTTATTTTACCCGACACATTTTACAGATCGTATGCGATGTCTTGTTGGCACATCTAGACAAGATACCAGGAGATCGGCGGATTATGATTGGGTTCATTACTTTCTCCAATAGTGTCCAGTTTTATCTAATGGGAGAAGGTAAGGCTATACCAGTGGAACAGACTTGTTACCATTTTACATCTATTCAGTCAGTCCTCCAACTTTAATTTCTACACAATCAATGTATTTTTAATCAGTTTGGTTTCTTTTAACTAACCTCATTCCCCATCATCAGTTGTGTGTGTTATCGATACATTCTTGGTGTTTTCCTAAATGCACTCACAAGAGCACTAGATTATAGTACTGTACAACATCAGTTAGTGCCAGAAACCAAACATTAAACTGTAAAAGCTTATTTAATGTTTATGCTTAGGCAGTGTTTTAACTTTTTTGTAATGAAGCCACTTAAAAACATTATGCAGACAAAAGTTAGAAAGTAGGGGAATGTGTATAGAAAAAAATATTCAAAATAGTATTCTCACTGGTTTGTTGATGGGTAAGAGGAAAGTTAACCATGGCTCAGATATTCAAATACAGAAGTACTATATTATTGAAATTTAAGTAGATGGAATCCTCTTTCAAATTTGGAAATTTTTAATTAATGCACTTAAACTCTTAAACTGTCCAAATGTAGATCTACGTTTACATGTGTAGCGCTCCAACCTTGATTTTCTCCATTTGAAAGCATGTAAAAAAAAGTAGATCTACTTTTCGAGCACTATGCAAGCGAACATAGATCTACGTTTGGACAGTTTAAGGGTTAAAGTACTTTTACTGCAAAACAATTTACACTATATTCTCGAAAACATAAATATGTATAAATTCACAAGACCGCTGGGCTACAATACATTCTCAACCACCGCAAAAATACACAGTAAGAATATTAACAACTCGTGCACTAATTGGTAAGGAAAATGAAAGAAGCCAACATATTAAAGGCAAGCATCTACAGAAGCAAAACTTTGGGACATTTGTGATGCCAGTAAGATTTACACTTGTTCTTTTAAGTAAGCCATCCTACTAAGTAAATGTCATTTTTGCTAAACTTTTTTCAAATGACTGTGACTAAGAATGTTGACTTTGTGCTCTTAAGGCTTTGTAGTGGTTGTTTCTTGTTCTTCTTTATGTATTATTGCATTTATTGGTGTTATGTAAGTTATAAGTGGTTAAATTTGTTTAACAGACATAACTTAAATAGCATATTTTGAGAATGTTAAAAAATCAGTATTTGTTAGAATATGCTGTCTTGATGGCAGTGAAATGGGCAGGCCAGTTTCAACAATATATTAGAAAAGCAAGAATGGGAAATTCAATAAACACCCTATTAGGGGCTGCAGAAGAGAGTAAAAGGCAGATTGCATACAGTGTATGGTATTTTGACAAAAAAAAAGCAAGTTTAATATCCTGAGGGTAAATATTATTTACACTATTACTACATATTCTTAACCACATAAATACATTAATGTTAGGATTTTCCTTATTTTATGTTATTTAAATTTTTTTTGTTCATCTCCGGTTCTTCGTACTCTAGCTAGATTTACAATTTTCAATGAATGTTCTGAAAAAAAGGCCTTAAAAATGTTTTGTTATAGATTTAAATTTGAAGACCAGTAAATATTGCTCAGTAGATGTAAATGACAGAAAATTGAGTATACTGTCACACTCTTCCAGATCAGAAACATGTCCAGATGTTAGAAGTTGGTGAGATAGAGGAAATGTTTGTTCCGAATCCTGAGGATCTCTTGGTTAACTTGGAGCAAAGTCATTCTCTGGTCGAGGACTTCCTCTCGACACTCCCAGAAGCGCATGCTGCAACTTTCCAAACTCAGTCTGCACTTGGACCTGCACTGCAAGCTGCTTACAAATTAATGGTGTGTTAGTTACCGTATCATGAATAATTTGATCTTGCTGCTTATTACACTGTTCTGTAGTTTTTTTAACAAGTCGGCCGTCTCCACCGAGGCAGGGTGACCCAAAGAGAAAGAAAATCCCCAAAAAGAAAAAACTTTCATCATCATTCAACACTTTCACCTCACTCACACATAATCACTGTTTTTGCAGAGGTGCCCAAAATACAACAATTTAGAAGTATATACGTATAAAAAAAAACATATCTCTCCAAACTGCCAGTATCCCAAACCCCACCTTTAGAGTGCAGGCATTGTACTTCCCATTTCCAGGACTCTAGTCCGGTTATATAAAATAACCGGTTTCCCTGAATCCCTTCACTAAATATTACCCTGCTCACACTCCAACAGATTGTCAGGTCCCAAATACCATTTGTCTCCATTCATTTCTATCTAACACGCTCACGCACGCTTGCTGGAAGTCAAAACCCCTCGCCCACAACACCACCTTTACCCCCTCCCTCCAACCTTTTTGAGGACAACCCCTACCCTGCCTTCCTTCTCCTACAGATTTAAATGCTCTCCATGTCATTCTACTTTGATCCATTCTCTCTAAATGACCAAACCACCTCAACAACCCCTCTTCAGCCCTCTGACTAATACTTTTATTAACTCCACACCTCCTAATTTCCACTCTCCGAATTTTCTGCATAATATTTACACCACACATTGCCCTTAGACAGGACATCTCCACTGCCTCCAACCGCCTCCTCGCTGCTGCATTCACAACCCATATAAGAGTGTTGGTACTACTATTTCATACATTCCCTTCTTTGCCTCCATAGATAACGTTTTTTGTCTCCACATATACCTCAACGCACCACTCGCCTTTTTTCCCTCATCAATTCTATGATTAACCTCATCCTTCATAAGTCCATCTGCCGACACGTCAACTCCCAAATATCTGAAAACATTCACTTCTTCCATACTCCTTCCCAATTTGATATCCAATTTTTCTTTATCTAAATCATTTGATACCCTCATCACCTTACTCTTTTCTATATTCATTTTCAACTTTCTACCTTTACACACACTCCCAAACTCATCCACTACCCTTTGCAATTTTTCTTTAGAATCTCCTATAAGCACAGTATCATCAGCAAAAAGCAACTGTGTCAATTCCCATTTTGTATTTAATTCCCTATAATTTAATTCCACCCCTCTCCTGAACACCCTGGCATTTACTTTTTACAACACACATAAAGTGGGAGTTGTCACAGTTGCTCTTTGCTGATGACACTGTGCTCTTGGGAGATTCTGAAGAGAAGTTGCAGAGATTGGTGGATGAATTTGGTAGGGTGTGCAAAAGAAGAAAATTAAAAGTGAATACAGGAAAGAATAAGGTTATGAGGATAACAAAAAGATTAGGTGATGAAAGATTGGATATCAGATTGGAGGGAGAGAGTATGGAGGAGGTGAATGTATTCAGATATTTGGGAGTGGACGTGTCAGCGGATGGGTCTATGAAAGATGAGGTGAATCATAGAATTGATGAGGGGAAAAGGGTGAGCGGTGCACTTAGGAGTCTGTGGAGACAAAGAACTTTGTCCTTGGAGGCAAAGAGGGAAATGTATGAGAGTATAGCTTTACCAACGCTCTTATATGGGTGTGAAGCATGGGTGATGAATGTTGCAGCGAGGAGAAGGCTTGAGGGAGTGGAGATGTCATGTCTGAGGGCAATGTGTGGTGTGAATATAATACGGAGAATTCGTAGTTTGGAAGTTAGGAGGAGGTGCGGGATTACCAAAACTGTTTCCAAAGGGGTGAGGAAGGGTTGTTGAGGTGGTTCGGACATGTAGAGAGAATGGAGTGAAACAGTGACTTCAAGAGTGTATCAGTCTGTAGTGGAAGGAAGGCGGGGTAGGGGTCGGCCTAGGAAAGGTTGGAGGGAGGGGGTAAAAAGGAGGTTTTGTGTGCGAGGGGCTTGGACTTCCAGCAGGCATGCGTGAGCGTGTTTGATAGGAGTCAATGGAGACAAATGGTTTTTAATACTTGACGTGCTGTTGGAGTGTGAGCAAAGTAACATTTATGAAGGGATTCAGGGAAACCGGCAGGCCGGACTTGAGTCCTGGAGATGGGAAGTACAGTGTCTGCACTCTGAAGGAGGGGTGTTAATGTTGCAGTTTAAAAACTGTAGTGTAAAGCACCCTTCTGGAAAGACAGTGATGGAGTAAATGATGGTGAAAGTTTTTCTTTTTCGGGCCACCCTGCCTTGGTGGGAATCGGCCAGTGTGTTAATAAAAAATCTATAAATATATTAAACAACCATGGTGACATTACACATCCCTGTCTGTATATTGTATGTAAAATGGCTTTACATTAGTTCTTGTGTTGCATGAATAACATTCCTTTCAACTAATTTTTGTTTTGTACATAAAGGGCAGGGTTTTCCATAGGTGATTATACTAAGAGGTTAATGTAAAAGGGTGCAATATTGACTGAGCAGTACAACTGTAATTAGCAACTTTTTCACATTGCTAAAGAAACTGCAGTACTAGTTGTCCTTGTGTATACTGTATATTACACAAATAACTCGCACATGGGAGAGGAGGAACTTCTGATTACTGGCTTGGATATACAGCAGGCATGTTAAGAGTGAGTGGAGACAAATGGTTTTTGGGACTTGACAAGCTGTTGTACTGTGAGCAGCGTAATATTTTGTGAAGGAATTCGGAGAAAATGGTTAGCTAGATTTGATGGAGTATTTGCTGTTTGGAATGACATCTTAACTGTCATCTGCACACCTCAGCAAAGACAGTGATTGTGTTTTTTTTTTTTTTTTTGGGGGGGGGGGGATCAGCATGTTGGGAGAGAAAAAAAATCAGATTGACTGATCATACAATCTCTCCACCCTACTAGACCAAGGAGTATACTGCACAGTATGAGCTACACTGCTGCCATATGTCTCTGGAAGCACACAAACCTTTTGATAGCATCTTGTAAACGTGTTTCACAGCATATATTATAAAGTGCAGCGATTTTAGTTTCTTTCTAGTAGAAAATTAATATAGTTTACCACATGTTCCAGAGCCCAATTGGTGGGCGCATTACACTGATGACAACTACATTACCATCTGTGGGACCTGGTGCGTTGAAAGCACGCGAGGACCCAAACCAGCGAGCAGGAAAAGACATACAAAATATGGGCCCAGCGACTGATTTCTACAAAAAGTTGTCTCTTGACTGCTCAGGCCAGCAAGTAAGAATCCCGTGTATCCATTACACTATAAAATTGTTTCATGGTAATACTAAAGTACCTTAATGTAAATATACTGAAATTAATATTTCTCTGGGGGTTCATGATTAATAGCTTAATGTCAAAGTTACTCTTTAAAATTAATAGTTTACAAACTATCAAGAATATAGCAGGGCCCCAACTGTTGATGCATCTCTTGGGAACCGATTGTAACTGTTTGGAGCTTGATCTGTTTTCCCATAGCTATCTTTGTTATAATCAGATGTATGTTCCAGAGATATAATATTCATATCTAATTTCATTTGTTATTTGCAATAAAATTAGAGAAAAAATGCTTCATACCTGGTTGCTCTTTCCTTTCTCTTACCTTGCCTTCTGCCTCTTCTATTCCCTTAACACCTATAGTATCTGACGCACCTTTGCCCTACCATCCTCTCCTCGCCGCATTCCAACCCCATATTATATTAGACCCTCCCATCCTTGCTGTGTTCTAAACTCCCCCCATACTGTATTAGATATTACATACACAGGTGTGTAGATATGGTCTGCACATCTTGCTGCTTGGGAACAAGCAAAATACAGCAGAGAATTATATTTACTTCGCCAAAAATGAGCTAGTATTCGCAACACATATGTAACCTATGTACAGTATTGACAGCTATGTACAGTGAGGCAAGTGCAAGCATAAAACACGGTAATCAGTGAGGCAAATGCAAGCACAAGACGCTGTCAAACCGTGGCGACTAGCAGTTGTTTCAAGAGTATACCACGTCACTTCATAGTGTTGGTGGGCTTCCTTGTGATTGGTTGGTTGGATCGAGGTACTTGTATAACAATGGGTCTCCTTTTAACATTAAACCCTTAGCACCTGGTTCGCTGGTCGGGAGGCATGCCTATGTGGGTGTGTGATATTCGCGAAATAAAATGTAACACACACTTTGCATTCCACATTAGACCTCACTGTACTCTGCTTCAGTATCATACTCAGGGTGTGGGTTGTGTACCCAAACCACCCCAATGCAGTGCCCTCCCATAGTGTGCTTTATTTCCTCCCTACTCCAGTCCTCACATGGTATTCTGCCTCCCAGAAATGTACTAACCCTCCCTGTACCACTCTCACAATGTACTATGTCCCATTCCACTCCACCTCCTTAGTGGACTGTGCCCCCCCCTAAACCACTCTCTGTATGTCACCCATACTACATCCATACTACTACATCCCACAAAGAACTATGCCCTGCTGCTCCACCATCATGTACTGTGCCCCTATACTACACCCTGCAGTGCACTATTTCCCCCACGCTACACCCATGCTGTTCTCCACTTCCCACATCTTGCTCTTATGACGGGTATATGGTGCCTGGCCAAGGTATGTGAATAAAATTCTCTAGAAATAAGCTTGGATAAGGGACAGATTATATGAGAGGTTATTCCTTTCTGTCTAGGGGCAGGACAAACAAAATAATTTACTTAGGTTTGCATAGTGATTTTGTCTTAACCTTCATCAACCTCAACCTGTGATGAAAATGCTCCATGTACATTTGTAACTGGGATTTTCCAACATTATATATGATCTGTAAATGCTTTCAGATTGCTGTGGATTTGTTTACACTTAACTCACAATATGTGGATCTGGCCACACTCACAGGAGTAAGCAAATTCTCTGGAGGCTGTATCCATCACTTTCCAAATTTCCATGTTACAAGGAATCCAGCATCTGTAAATCCATTTATGTCATGCCTTACACGTTATATTACTAGGAAAATAGGCTTTGAAGCTGTCATGAGGATCAGGTTAGTAGAATGACTAGTAACTTATATAAGTTTGTTTTGCATCTTCCAGAAAAAGCACTGTAATATCATAAATTGTTCAGCTTTATAATGATGTAAAGTGTTCAGTAGCAACTTGCCTCTAGTAATATTCAAATCTTATGAAAAAAAGGTAAAAACAGTATATAATTAAGAAATTATTTTACACAGAGCCACCAGAGGTTTAGCGATTACCAACTTCCATGGTAACTTCTTCGTTCGATCAACTGACCTACTGTCCTTGCCGAACATTAATCCTGACGCAGGGTTTGGCATGCAGGTCAACATTGAAGAATCATTACACAATATACGTACTGCTTGTTTCCAAGCTGCACTTCTATATACTTCAAGTAAAGGTAAGGAAATGTAAGGAGTTGTGGAAGTAAACATACTAATTATACTAATAGCAGTCAAGTCTTATCAACACTTCCATTGATTGAGTCAGTCTTTCCCTCTTTCCCTTTCTTTTATATATACTGAAGCATTTTTGTTAACTTACGGATGCTTAGACATTCAGTGAGTGTGTGTGAGCATGTTAGGAGTGAGCAGAGGCAAGTGGCTTTTATGACTCGACATGCTGTTAGTGTGAGCAAGGTAGCATTTATGAAGGGATTCAGGGGAAACCGGTTAGCCGAACTAGAGTCCTGGAGGTAGGAAGTACAGTGCCTGCACTCTGGAGGGGTGGGGATATTTGCAGTTTTGAACTAGTATCTGTGCACCTCTGGCAAGATAGTGATGGCGGAGTTCCTTCTTTTTCTAGCTGCCCTACCTTAGGGATCAGGGCTTAGTAAAACTCTTGTTTGACCTTTTTCTGCATGTTAGTTTTATGAAATTTTTTAAAGATTGGTCATATTGAAAATTTAAATTATTTTTAATGGCTGTTAGTATCTTCGAGTGCCTGCAGTGTTCTTTACGTAAGTAGATTTATTAATATTCAACTGAAAATTACTAGTAGTGGGTAACAAGTTAGAATCTTTTAGTTAAATTTTTCCTGTTTTGCCTATTTTGGGGTAATAATAGTTGTGCAATGTCCTTAATATAAAAAGCTGATACTAATTTACAAAATTATTTTTTAGGTGAACGGCGCATCAGAGTACACACTCTGTGTTTGCCTGTTTCTCCAAACATGCATGAAGTAATAACAGCAGTTGACCAGCAAGCAGTAATAGGGTTATTAGCCAAGATGGCAGTGGATCGCTGTCTCTCGTCGTCTCTCTCTGATGCCCGGGATGCCCTGATTAATGCCTGTGTAGATGGGCTCACAGCCTTCAAGATAAGTCTTTCAAGCCCAGCACATGGGGCACTAGAAGTACCGCCCACATTGCAGCTGCTTCCCTTGTATACATTAGCTCTTGTTAAATCGGTAAGTTATCTTTCCATGCTAATTAATGCATTTCATTGTCTGATGACTAAAAGGACTATACTGAATTATTCAGATTAATATTTTTACTCTACCTTCACCTGCTCTACAACTGAAAAGGTATCTCTAAATTTTTTCTCATTTTTTAATTGCAGATTGCGTTCCGAGGGGGCTTAAGCACAAAATTGGATGATCGTCTCTTTGCTATGTGTGAACTTAAAACGCTACCACTTAAGCACCTCATAACATTCATATATCCAGACCTGTACCCAATCCATATGTTGTCAGAAAAAGGGGCTCTCAATGTAGATGATCAGGTATGGCAATTTAACCTAATTTCAGTTTATTTAAAAAATTAATTGAAGTTAGAGCCTGTGGATAGTAGGACAAGTCAAGAATGACTTAAGAAGAATGCTATTAAAAAAAAAAAAATTAACACTGGGTTGTAAAAAGGTGCAGCAAGGAGACTGGAGGCAGTGGAGATGTTATGTCTGTGGATGGTGTAAATATTGTGCAGAGAATTCATAGTGTCAAAAGTAGGTGTGGATTTAATAAAAGTATTATTCAGAGGGCTGAGGAGGGGTTTTTGAGGTGGTTTGGTCATTTAGAGAGGATGGCACAAAATAGGAAGACTTGGAGAGTATAAATCTGTAGTGGCAGGAAGGAGGGGTGGGGGTTGTCCTAGGAAAAGATGGAGAGAAGAGGTAAGAGGTTTTGTGTACGAGGTGCTTGGACTTCCAGCAAGCGTGCATGAGCTTGTTAGATTCAGGGAAACCAGTTAGCTGGACTTGAGTCCTGGAGGTGAGAAGTACAATACCTGCACTTTAAAGGAGAAGGAAGGGTTTGGGATATTGGCTGTTTGGAGTGACATCTAAACTCTCGTATCTGAGCGCCTCTGCAAAGACTGATTATGTACGAGTGATGAAAGTTTTTTTTTTCTTTTTGGGTCACCCTGCCTCATTATATATATATATATATATATATATATATATATATATTATTTTTTTTTTATTTTTTTATTATCACACCGGCCCCATTCCCACCAAGGCAGGGTGGCCCGAAAAAGAAAAACTTTCACCATCATTCACTCCATCACTGTCTTGCCAGAAGGGTGCTTTACACTACAGTTTTTAAACTGCAACATTAACCACCCCTCCTTCAGAGTGCAGGGACTGTACTTCCCATCTCCAGAACTCAAGTCCGGCCTGCCGGTTTCCCTGAATCCCTTCATAAATGTTACTTTGGGTCACACTCCAACAGCACGTCAAGTATTTAAAAACCATTTTGTCTCCATTCACTCCTATCAAACACGCTCACGCATGCCTGCTGGAAGTCCAAGCCCCTCGCACACAAAACCTCCTTTAACCCCCTCCCTCCAACCCTTCCTAGGCCGACCCCACCC